GTCATGGGGTTAAATCACACTATCAAAAAAGGATGGCGGGGGATATTAATGAATAAATATATAGTTCAACAATACAAAGGTATTGGTTTTTACTCATTGGGGTGAATGTGCAATTCCCCCAACACATTTCCGCCACTGATCAAAGTTTTGGTTCAAATGGGGAGAAAAACAATGTCACAGCCTTCTAGTTGAGACAATGATACGCGTCAATCTTGATGTTGGAATAGTCCCAAAAGGACACATGTCTTTGAGGTTTACCTTTGGTGAGGGGGCACGGGTGGTCCAGTCGTTAAGGCGCCGCGTTTGGCTGTGCCGAGTTGCGTCCCTTGGACACGCCAGAAACCTTTGATTGTGGGTTCGAATCCCGGTTCGCCCCGATTATGTTTCTAGGTTTGTCAGCACCATACCAGTGCTCGTGGGTTTCACCGAAGTAGTAAACGTCTGAGACCTGCATCCCTTCGGACTTTCCTCCCACATTAAGCTGACACGCCGTGATATAACTGGAATACTGTTAAAAGCGGCGTTAAACCCAACTCACTCACTCACTACCTTTGGTGAAACGATCACAGTCACTGGGAATATTCACAAAGGTGGTTTGTATTCAAGACATAAAAGACATCAAGATAACAATTGAGGATATTTATTACATTTATTCAAAATGAAATACGTCCAGGGCATATAAAAGAAGGAACGAAATTGAAACACATTGATGCCAAAATAGGTGAACGTCAGGTTATGACACCTGTGCCAGTCCAGGTAATATGCACGTGACCATTGCTGACCAGTGACACTTTTCCTTTGAAAGATGTCTCGCGAGGGTGTGTTATTTTGTGTGCTGATATGGCCTTGTTGTTTCTTAAGAACATGATATCCACAATGCTTTTCTATGTAAGCCACATTGTACAGTTGGCAGTTTCGTGGTTACTAGGTGCCAACACGCGGAGGAAGGGGCAAACTGTCAGATCTTTCTATTCCTCTCCAGGAACGTTAGAGACTAATGTCGCCATTGAACCCCTCAGTTCCAACAGTAATTTTTGATGTTAATGCTATTTCTATAAACGTACATCACACATTGAGTCATGTTATGAAGATCTTGTCATCATGAAATGTAACTACGAAGAATGTAAATCTCTGGGCATTACATTAGCAATTCACTGAATAGTGAATACTGCAGCTGATTATAGGATTAGTTTGGGAGGTACAAATTTACAATGATAACATTTTTTATCATTTAACATTAACTGTTTATAACATTTATATGGACGGGTATACTTGCACATAGTGAGAACGCATAAAAAGATTGATAACATTCAAAACATTGTACACACTAAATAAGAAAACTACAATAAGTAAGTGCAAATATTTGGGAGTATACATGGCAAAACACATACACACACATAGTGAAAACGCATTGATCAAGGCATAGATTGATAACATCGTCACACAAACACACACTCACACAAATACACACACACATTCACACACGCATAACAACAAGAAACTTTAAACAGTCATGACGAAGGGAGCTAGAATGTCACAATGTGACTGACTTTCCTAAACTAGCGGCAAAATGATCGTAATTTCGAAATGTTAAGAACTACAAAAATAATGATCTGAGTCAAATGTATTTTGGACGGTGAAGAACGTTGAAAGATTGTCATGTCCGCTCACTCACGCAAAAGATGCTTGATCAATATATGTTTAAGTACAACATGGCTGAAGGTCCTGTTGCCTGACCAGATCTTTGATGAAGTTGCTCAAAAACAGAGTTCGAGAGTATACGTCAGCCTTGGCAGAAGAAATGGTACAATCTGTGAAGATATAATGTGAGACATATTACCCGTCCAAAGGAAATAGCGGTGAATATTGTCTTCCTGCTCTCAATCTCCCTACAGAGGGTTGTTGGATATTCCGCCTTTCTCGATTGTAACAAGCCCATCTTGTTGGACAAGTGACGTCCTCCGGACGACTAATGACACTCGTTGTTCTATTAGGGATGTTCTTCGCCTCTGTCCTTTGTCCAAGGCATATGGTCCAGTACTGCTTTGGCGGCGTTGGCGTTGAAGCGGTCCATATTTAGCGTCAGTGCCGTTGGCAGGAGACAGCTTTCTCACCAGTCCTGACTTTGGATTAAACTTATGAGTGATGGAATTTCTCTCGACTTCAAGGACCTTGATTGTTTTTCTGCGTATGTTCGTTTTAGATTTACCTTCTGTTTCATTTTCGGCGGTGTCATCGAAATGGACACCTGAGTAGAGATCCATTACCGTCAGGCCATGATATTGGTCCATGCTTCTATAGGGAATCAAGAGTAGTCTTGTTAGGAGCTTGTCGCGTCTGTTATATCCACATCCCAAATAACGTCAATGGAGGCGAGAAAAAAGGTGTGACCACCAGTAGCTGTAATGAGTGCGTCATACGGTAATATTTTAATGTTACTGGGTGACAATGTTTTTTTCAAAAGACGGAGAGGAGTCTTGTCACACGTCTCATTGCCATGCTCACGTCCTAATTAACGTCAGAGGTAAGATAAAAAACAACGAAGTGTGACCACTAGCAGCTGTAATGAGTACGTCATATAACAATATTTTAATGTCACTGAATGACATTTGTGCAACCCTCTCCTAGAGCTTGCCCATGTTTCCCGTTCTCTTGAAACAAATAAGTTTGACTACATGTATGTCTGTTCTCTCGCTGGCTCCAGCAAGGATTTCACATAAAGGGTAGCAAAGTTCCTCCCAAAAGGATCCTATAAATCTACACAACAAAATATGGTAATAAGCACAATGAAGTAGGAAATGTTGTCACGGATCTCTTATATTTTCAAAACTGATTTTGATTATTTCCCATCTGCCTTCAGAGGCTGCTAAACTCTATAAACCAATAATCGATGATCAAATTTAATGTAATCAGGCCCTAATTACATTAAATTTGATCATCGATTATGTGAATAAGTTTGAAATATATTATAAATGTTTCTTGAAAATGTGCTGGTCAGTCTGATATATACTCAACACCAAAAGAAACGTGAATACCATACATGTTGGTTAATATTTAAAGATGTACCATTTGTCTCATGCAGGATTTGCCTGTTAAGTTTGGCAATCACATGCAGCATATCGTGATAAGAATAAAGACACTGTGGTAACACTTGGTTTTGTCATTAATTGGTATACATTGGAAACATCTCTTCTTAAGGTAATACTTCTCCATATATTTCTATGGTCGTTTCTTTTGGCATTGAGTATATAACAGGTCATTATGGACTAGCAGCTGTTTCAAGCTCTGGTTATGACTCAGGTATAGTTTCAAGAGTGTTGGGTTCACATTACACTGGTACCTTCTATATGTTCCAAATATGTTTTAATGAAGCTTCAGGAATAAACACAAAACCATTTGGATAGCAAAAACAACAGTTTATTAAGGTAACTGACGTTTCACACACAGATAAACGCAGTTGACATTATCACAGTCAATATTCAGCAGTAAGATTGTTAACCAAGGTGGACGGCTTGAAAACGAAATAAATACATACATAAACATATCCAATATTACACCCAGTCTTTTTGTACCTCGAAACCAGGACATAATGTCTGTTATTTATAAAGTATTCCCTCTTTAACTCCTGTGTACATTTTGCAAAAATACTGGCTTTAAAACAAAATATTAAATACTGATAATTACTATGGGCAGCTGTGTGAAGTATACACAATATGTCAAATCTTAAATCTTAGGATAATGGATGAATATGATGATGAGTGGGTGAATGAATGAAGTTTTACGCCACTTTCAGCTATATTACAGCAATATCATGGTGAAGGCAGAAACAGGCTCCTCACATCGTACCAATCACGGGAAATAGGACCCAGGTCTTCGGCAGGACGAGCAAATGCTTTGACCTCTAGGCTATCCCACCTAAATATGATGATTACATGGGGATGATGAGTGAGTGAGTGAGTATAGTTTTACCCCACTTTGACCCAGGAATGTCCGGCAGGGGACACGAGAAATGGGCTTCACACATTGAACCCATGTCGGTAATCGAAGCCAGGTTTTCGGTGTGACGAGCGAACGCTTTAACCACTTGGCTACCCAACCGCCCCTGGTGATGATGAGAACACATGGATACCTTTACATGAACATCAATGTTGAGTTGTGGAAGGTAACATAATAGTACATTAACATCAAATATGCAATATATGTGTGAAGTTAATGTGACTCGACAGAATGTACAAACGTGTTACATTTTGGTAATACAGGAATTGTGAAAGAATCTACAGGATTAAGAAAAAGGTTCCAGGAAAATATTTGGCAATACCATGACTTGCAGTGACATAAAACAGATATTATTGGAAAGCATTTTTTAATTCTGTGATAAATACATATGCAGCGAAGTCTTGTAAACTTGAACTCCTTTAATTTGATAGTCAAACCTTGTCAGTCAGGACCCCATTTCAAAGTAGACACAATTTAAGGATAACAACTTTTTTAGTAGTGTAAAGCAGGGGTCCGGAAAATTTAAAATCCCAATCGGACATTTGCATTTAGTCCACGCCCCCTTCAAATAGCGAATTTTAGTACGACTTTTCACACACATTACAAGTTTACGTATTCATAATATAATGAATTATGAATTGTTTCAATTTAAATTGTTTATTCACCGGACAATTAATAACAAATAATATCATTTTAGATTTACATGGAAAACATACGTTTGTTTCTGTTATAATAACGATCTGTTAACGTAGTGAACGGTCTAATTAATATTCATGAGTCTGCTCAAGTGTACGCGTTGTAACATTTGGATCGAGACTATTATCCCATATTTGGTTATCACGTGACCTCACGGGAAAAGTTTTTTTTTAAACTAAAGATTTTTTTAAAAACAAGACAGATAATTTAATCACAAATACTAAAATATCGTTGATAGCAATAGTTATTTGAATACTGTAAAGGCCACGTTTCAGTATAGATCCTTATACAGTTTTCAAGGTTGACAACGGTATAAGGATCTATACCGAAACGTCACCTTTACAGTATTAAAGAAGTTGTTATCCATAAATTGTGTCTACATTGGCATCCGCCAACTTCTAAGTAATGCCTATCAAACAATTCAGGACCCCATTTGTCCAGAAACCACGATTTTATCAATAAATAACTCAATAGAGTCTACCTAAATAAAATTGACATTACTGTGACAAAAAGGACTCCCTTATTGAGAAATGAGTTAATCCAGATGACTTTACTGTAAGCTGTTGGCATGAACAGAGTGTCACTTGTATGTTTTAGGGGGACCCCTGGATATTGCTTGTTTCACTCTACTGTCCATGGCTCTAAGACTTGAGTTAACAAAGCTCCACTCTATGTAGCCTGGTGTATATTAAGCATGACAATCAACAAGAGACAGTGTGTGGACATAAAACACACACGTAATCTGTCTATCAGGTAGAAACTCAATATACTAATCATAAAAATTTACATTTGATATATACAGAAATGAGAATCTAAACTAAATTAAAATTGCGAGTTTCACCCTAAAAATATTCAATAATCCCATTTAAATTGTCTGTAAATACTGATAAACACTGATTTCTTAGACACTAATTAAAAGCAAATTAGTACTGGGTGCTTTACACAAACTTATGAGCAGATAAGGATAAAGATTCATATTTCATTTCCCTCTTAACAGAAACTTTAATTCCAGAATGCTTTCTTCTAACCTTAATTACATGGATTTTGCTTAGGTAGTCCGAACACTTTTAGAGCATGCACTATGCATGTAGTAATATTCTGACAAATATGTAATTTCAATGATTTCATATGCAACAATATCCTAATTATTTCCCCTCAACGACAGTTATAATTTACAAATATGAATTTATTAATTTCCATTGTATAAAATATTTGACTTCAATGACTCCAAGGAAAGTTTGAAATATTATTTTGGCTGCCATTTGCTGACTCCATATAGTTTATAATACAATTCAGCTACTAGGCGCCACGACTTGTTCCATGGGTATGTAGGACTGATCAGGAAGAAAGAACTTCTGGGAGGACTTGAGTGTGATGAGCACTGGTTCCTGGAAGCGGGCATCGAACTCGTCCAGTCTGTTTGGGAATGGGTTCATGTACAAGGTCTTCATTGGCAGGTTGATACTCGGCACAAATGTAGTTATCTCCCCTGTGACCAGTGGTCGATTGCGGCCTCCAAGAGGGGGGCATTGGAAATCTGAAAGATAGTTTATCAAATTGTTTCAAATCATGCATAAAAATATAGAACACACTGTTTTTATGTTTATACCTCCATAAACGCCAAAATATATTGAAGTCAGTTCTTGATATATTGAAGTCAACAGTAACAAGCATGAAATACTCATATCCCCCGCCTATATGACATGCCCGGTTGTGTGCAAGGCATTAGCCCTCCGGAAAAGAGCACTATTTTCCATCTAAGTTACAGTCGTTGCCATGGAAACCTTGAAAAATATTTTTTTCAAAAATTCCAAACTATCAAAAGGCACCAGTTTACCACTAGACCTATCTATGTGCCAAGTTTGGTTAAGATTTCTCTCATGGTTTTTTAGTTCTGCTTCGGAAACAAAACGTTATGGACGGACAGACAGCACCCATTCCTATATCTCCACCTCCACCTCGTGCTGGGGGACAATAACGTCACAGAATGCTTATTTCATCAGTAACAAAAATATGTAGACAACAACACAAAATTAGTGACATTATTCTGGCATTCCCCCTCTATTATCATCTAATCAGAAAACAGTCGTCTGCTAGAGGGCTGACGTCAATATTTTCGGTTTATGGAAGCATAAACACAAAAATAATTTCTTGGTTAGCCAATCAAAGGACATGACATGTAATTCATATCCACCACAAAAGACGAGTGGTATTTGTGCTGCTTTTATCAATATTCCAGCCATATCACCACGAGGGCACTAAAATAATAGCATAATAATAACCCTAAGCATAGCACTTCGGTGCATCTGATCGCTATTGCCGGTTATTTTTTTTTCACATGGAACAATTTGACCAGTCACCGTGGAGGCTCCCGCGCACATGATTGTGAGAACTACATGTTGACATAGAATCATCAAACTACAACATCTATGACTTTTAACGAGTCAAAGTATGGCATTTATGATATATGTATCCATTCTGTGTCAACTAAAGTTCATTTCAAGGCGTCAATAGCGGTAATCTGACCGTGGTTGCTGTTAATAACGGTGAGTTGTGCGATCTTTCGATTGCTTCACACACAATTTCGCCGAAATTGATTAAAACAATATTAAAAGGAATTTCGAATAAAATTAATGAAATATGTTAAATACATAAGTCCAGATATACAATGAACACTTTTTATAGCCAGACAGTGTAATTACATGATTAATTTGCATACTTCAGTATGGATTTGTTGACATGGTATTTCCGGTGTTACATGCTCACGGTAATGTCTTTGCGTTGGGGGAAAAAACCCATCAAAACTCATTATGGTGTGTATAATGTGCACTCCCTTCTACACAGCTGTGTTTTTTGGAAAAAAGGTGCACACTTTTCTCAAGAAAATATGGTAATACTGGGCTTCACATATTGTACTCGAGTGAAACATCAAACCCAGGTATAGCATGACAAGCCACTGCGTTATCAAGGCTACCCAGATGCCCTCGGAACCCTACTTCCACTTGCATCCAGCGCCCAGAGGAGGCTTGTAAAAACTACAATACATAATGCATGAGAATGCATCGAGTGAGTGAGTTTTACACCACTTTCAGCAATATTCCAGCAATATCACGGTTGGGGGACACCAGAAATGGGCTTCACACATAGTACCTATGTGGGGATCAAACCCGGGCCTTCGGCATAATGAGCAAACGCTTTAACCACAGGCTACCCCTGATCCGAAAATGAGTCGAAACTAAATGATGGGTTACAAACTGTTTGATAACTGTGTCGGAGAAATTCAAGAAAAACAGTGCAAATTAAGTGTCCTGATTCGAGTACTGCGATATGTATATGTGATGTAGGCATACAATGTATCATGACTTGACTAAAATACCTCTGGAAAAATATTAAACACTACATATATTATATATTTCCATAAGAAATGGTCATCTTTAAAATCAGTTTACACAGGGCTGATACTCATACTGAAATACAGAAACTGAAATGATTGTCAGAGGACATTTCTTGTAACTGCTTCACACTACCCTTTCTTTGTTCCCCCTGCTTTGCATCATGTCACATGACACAGTACCATCTCCAGGAACAAACAGTGATCTTGTTTTTTTGTTTGTTTGTTCTTTATGCCGCACTCAGCAACATTCCAGCTATATGACAGTGGTCTGTAAATAATCGAGTCTGGACCAGACAATCCAGCGATTGACATCATGAGCATCGATCTACGCAATTGGGATACGATGACATGCATTAATCCCGTTAATCGCCTCTCACGGCAAGCATAGTCGCCTCTCACAACAAGCATGGGTTGCTGAAGTCCTACAGTGTTCTTGCAACTGTCAAGGAAGTATTGACAGTATCTTTATTAGAATGAGATGAAAGCCATATGATGATATTTTCAAAAGATGCAGGTAGTTCGGTGCATATCTAGTTGCGGTGCTTAACCTTCTTCCAGGAGTACACTGAAGCATGAACGTAAATGTTGGCCACCTACCAATGGCTACTGGTTTATCCCTGCTTCTCCTGCACACACTGGTGTGTGTCTCCCCCAGCCGGACCAGCGCTGCTTTACTGTGGACAGAGCAAAGGTAGGACTGTCAGTAACACAAACATAGACACATGAAGCTATTTCTTTCAAATTGGCATTGTGACATGGTAAGATTCATGACCTTTACTCATCCTATATAAATATTTATTGATAAATGGATCTCTATGGTGAGTGATAATGTGATGTGTATCAGACATTAAATTTAAGGTTGTATTGTTATTTTCTTGCAGATTAATAAGGTTTAAACTTCTGAGAATGAACCCCTCAACCAGGGACTCCTAAGGATGAACCATGGACTCCTGAGGATGAACCATGGACTCCTGAGGATGAAACATGGACTCCTGAGGATGAACCATGGACTCCTGGGAATGAACCGGGGACTCCTGGGGATGAACCAGAGACTCCTGGGGATGAACCCGGGACTCCTGATAATGAACCGGGGACTCCTGGGGATGAAACAGGGACTCCTGAGGATGAACCAGGGACTCCTGATAATGAACCAGAGATTCCTGAACCTGATGGACTCCCTAAGGATGAAGCAAGGACTCCTCTGGATGAACCATGGACTCCTGATGATGAACCATGGACTCCTAAGGATGAATCAGGGACTCCTGAGTATGAACCAGGGACTCCTGATAATGAACCAGAGACTCCTGAGGAAGAGGCCTAGGAGCTCCCAGAGGATGACGCAAGCACTCCTCTGGATGAACCATTGACTCCTGATGATGAACCATGGACTCCTGATGATGAACCAGGGACTCCTGAGGATGAACCAGGGACTCCTGAGGATGAACCAGAGACTTCCTAAGGATGAAGCAAGGACTCCTCTGGATGACCATGGTCTCCTGATGATGAACCAGGGACTCCTGAGGATGAAACAGAGACTCCTGAGGATGAAACAGAGACTCCTGAGGATGAAACAGAGACTCCTGAGGATGAACCAGGGACTCCTGAGGATGAACTATGGACTCCCTGAGGATGAAGCAAGGACTTCCGAGGATAAACCAAGGAATCCAGAAAATGAACCAGAGACTCCCTGAGGATGAACCAGAGAATTACTGAGAGTAAACCAAAGACTCATTAAGGATGGATGAAAGATCTCCTGAGGATGAACCAAGGATTGTCATTGGATGACTTACTGTGGTAGTTTTGGCAGTACCAGCACTGTGTTTTTGGGAGGCCCAGTTTTATCTTTACTGGGACCTTGTGGGCGAGACCTTCCTTTCTTCAGTGCCTCGATCTCCTTCTCTACCATCATCTCACAGAAGTAGCTGACAGCATCCAGGTATGTGACCGCCTCCAGCACAGTCTGGTCCGGCATCTTGTCATAGGTTACTGAAACATATTGAACTTATTTGTTTGTTGCATGATGCCACACTCAGAAATATTCCAGCTCAACGATGGTGGTCTGTTAATAATTGAGCCTGGATGAGACAATCCAGTGATTGACATTAAGAGCAATGATCCACAGTGTCAGGGTATGGTGACACACAATGAACCAAGTCACCGAGCCTGACCACCCGATCTATTTAGTCACCTCTAACGACCAGCACAGGTTGCTGGGGACCACTTCTAACTTGGAATACCCACAGAGGGAACATACTTCAAGGAAACATGATACAAAGCTTCCTACCCACTTACACATCAAATAATTCCCTCATCTGAAATAATCAGAATAATTCAGATGTACACAAGATGATTCCCATGAACTATTTAAAAAAATGATTTTCAAATTATAGGGTGTGAGTGAGTGAGTGAGTTAGACGACTGGGCCACCCGTGCCCCCTATAGGATGTGTCTCCAACCTACTGGGAAATGAAGGCACACGTGACTATAATGACAAGGACACACAGAAGGGCAGCCTGAGGTGAGCCTGCTGATACTTAAATACTACTTTCACTTTTGTAAAGTAAATCTTCAATTTACACATCAGAATACATTTTAGAGTCAGGCAGTTCACAGAAGAAACCGGTCTCACATGGACTACATTCAGATTAAAATAAATAAATGTTTGTAAAATGATTTCATCATTCTGCTGTAAATATAAGTGCTCTAATGTGGCAAGTAAAAAGGGCATCATGACACAAAACATGTGTTTGAGAGTCATGAATGACTGTTATGAGTTTCAAATATCAAAGCCTACAATATCATGACAAAAAAAAAAGCTCAAACCTCTTAAACATTTATTTAAACCTTGAAGAGAAATGCAAACATCCTATTAATCCTGTTCATGAAACCACCTTGTAATAAACATTTGGACAATTCAAAATTATACTTATATTAACAACAAGTTCCACCAGTGAAGATCCGGGTTAGAATAGGTCTTCAGCAACTATGCTTGTCGTTAGGTGACTAATGGGATCGGGTGGTCAGGCTTGCTGACTTGGTTGATGCATATCATTGTGTCTTAATTGTGTAGATTTATGCTCATGATGTCAATCACTGGATTGTTGGGTCCAGACTCTATTATTTACAGACCGCCTTCATGTTGCTGGAATATTGCTGAGTGCGGCGATAAACAACAAACAAACAAAACAAACAAACACAACTAGAGTTCCGTTTCTGTATTAAAGGGTTAATACTAACTGATAAAAATATGTTGCATCAAGTATATGCCTTCAAACTACGACAGGTAGCATTCTGGAGTCAAATACACATACTTCCTGTTGCATGATAATGATAGCATCCCATCACATTTCCTCTGTATCATTTCACTTCCCTCATCTAAGACAAGAGTGGTAGTCGGGTAGCCTAGTGTTCGCTTGTCACGCCGAAAACTTGGGTTCAATTCCCGACATGGATACAATGTGTGAAGCCCATTTCTGGTTTCCCCACCGTGATATTGCTGGATTATTGCTAAAAGCGGCGTGAAACCTCACTCACTCACTCTAAGACAGGACTTACTTGTCATGTTGCGAGATGCCGTGGGAACGAACTCCACCCCGTCCGGGAGGGTGGTGAGGGTGGTCTGGTCGTCCGATACATCACCTCCCTGTCAAAGTACACATGACCAGCCATCACAAGGACACGTCATAGATTTCACATGCATCCTATAGCTTCACAAGCACATACGTGTGGTGTAAGCTGAAATCTAACGTCTTTGAATAATAATAAATAGTATTATAATAGTATTAGTACATTGACCCAAAGTGTGACTGAATCATTTGAAATGTATGCCTGGGTGTACAAAACAACCTTAGCATAACGCCGGTCGTAATTCTATGTTATGATATAGGAGTTACGATCACCTTAGCGCTAAGATCGCTTTGTACAATGGCACATCCTGCCCATCACCAAGTTGCCAGTTTTAAGATGACTAGTAAACACAGAAAACAGTCAATTTACCTACCTGTCTAAAAATATAATTTTATCTTTTGGGCATTACCTTAGATAAAATTAGTATTAATATTTCTTGACTTTAACCCTATTTTAACTATAAAATTTTAGAATTCTGTATTCCTGACTAGTCTATCAGTTGTATTTAGTCTATATTAGACGATTATTGTACTGATGTCCTCATGAATAATAAAAGCATGTGTGGCAATACATGTTAGACAGAAAACCTGATGAACGACAAAAAGAATGTATTGAAACTTTCAGTAACATCAACAACAAGTTTGCCATGGGTCCACATGGACTGTGATGTATGTGTGCATCGCTAAACTGGCATCCTTGTCATTATCACGCAAGGTACGAAATAAGCACTTGCCCAGAGGCCCGTAGTAGGTAGATCTTGTGTCCGTCACATAGTTTCAAAGTTGCATGGGTCCGTTTGGCCCGCATTAAATTTATGTTTCTATTTATTTGTCACAATAAGCTGCAGTTTAGGGCCTGAGGACCTGAAGAGTTTAGTCAGGACCTGAAGAGTTTAGTCAGGACGACAGCCTGATGACAGCCTGACAATTTTTATAATTCCCAACACTGGCAGCATGTCATGACAGTGGTAGACCGTATGAATAATGCAAGGAGATTATGATACAAACTATGATACATTGGTATGTGGTACAAGGGAAACAAGCATGAAATACTCATATCCCCAGTCAATATGACATGTTCGGTTGTGTTCAAGGCATTAGCCCCTTCGGAAAATGAGCACTATCGCCATTTTAAGTCTAAGTCAAACTCGTTGATATGGAAACTCGAAAAATCTTTTTTTCAAAATCCCAAATTCTAAAAAAGGCAACAGTTTACCACTAGGCCTATCTATGTGCCAAGTTTGGTGAAGAAATATTGCATGGTTTTCAAGATCTGCTTCGGAAAGGAGCACTATTGAAAATTTTAGTAAAAGTCAAAGTCATTACCATGGAAATTCTAAAAATATTTTTTTTAAAAACCCACTATCTATCAAAAGGCACTAGTTCACCACTAGACCTATCTATGTACCAAGTTTGGTTAAGATATCTCTCATAGTTTTTGAGTTCTGCTCCGGAAACAAAACATGACGGACAGATGGAAGGACGGATGGGCAGCAACCACTTCGTGGCGGGGGATAATAATCCTACAGGGGTTGATGCGATATACTTACAGCACTGGCACCGTGTTTCCCCTGCTGTTTCTGTATTTGACCCCGGGTCATCTTCCCGTGGACATTCTGGCCCTTCTTCATCCGGTCGATTGTATCCTCGATGTGAAGCTTGTAGGAGGTCATCCATCTGATTACAGGGAAACACTCACATGACCATGACAGTATAAATAGCTACAAAATATTCATTTACACTTCAGAATAATTTCTGATCTGAGAAGTCCCAAGCCAGACCACCATTTAACTGACTCTTGACAATCGGGGGGCACGGGTGGCCCAGTCGTCTGAGGCGCCGTGATTCGCTGTGCAGAGTTGCGTCCCTTGGGCACGCCAGAAACCTATGATTGTGGGTTCGAATCCCGGTTCGCCCCGATTATGTTTCTAGGTTTGTCAGCACCATACCCGTGCTCGTGGGTTTCACCGAAGTGGTAAACGTCTAAGACGTGCATTACTTCGGGCTTTCCTCCCACATTAAGCTGACACGCTGCGATATAACTGGAATACTGTTAAAAGCGGCGCTAAACCCAACTCACTCACTCACTCACTCACTCTTGACAATCATGAGGTAAAGAACAGCCCAGTCTGCTGTCAGACAAGGGGTACACTGTACAGGAATCCATTCCTGGTTATGTCAAGAGTTAATGGTCACCCACCTGTTGAGCCACTGCTGACACATCCTCCGGAGCTCCATCTTGCGGTCACTATCGTCCAGGTTCCAGATGTCCCAGGAGTCCAACTCCTTCAGGAAGTTGTGGTGGGGGTCCTGAAGACCACACCCGAAAAGGGTGTCCATGATAGTGGACCTGCAAGGTCGTCCATACAAATGTTGTCACTGATGTTCATGTACTTTACAGAGTAATGGGTATTTAACAATTATGATGATCCTTATCTGTCCTACCAATTCCTGTGGGTTTCTCCAAGTAACATCTCTTTTGAGGCTTTTATTCAGCATCATTCTTACCTACCATCATCAACCTGACAGACTGTTCAAAGCAGGGTTAACACAAGTCTTTCCTCCATCCCACCTAACCCATCTCCCTCTCACCCCTCCATTAAACCTACCCATCTCCTCTCACCCATCTAGCCTAACCAACTCCCTGTCACTCCTCCATCCCACCTAACCAACCCCCTCACCCTCCCATCCAGCCTAACCAACTCCCTCTCACTCCTCCATCCAGCCTAACCCAACTCCTCACTGCTACATTCAGCCTAACCCATCTCCCCCCACCCCTCCATTAAGCCTAACCAACTCCCTCTCACCCCTCCATTAAACCTAACCAACTCCCTCTCACTTCTCCTTCCATCCTAACCAACTCCCTCTCACTTCTCCATCCATCCTAACCACCTCCCTCTCACTTCTCCATCCATCCTAACCACCTCCCTCTCACTTCTCCATCCATCCTAACCAACTCCCTCTCACTTCTCCATCCATCCTAACCACCTCCCTCTCACTTCTCCATCCATCCTAACCACCTCCCTCTCACTTCTCCATCCATCCTAACCAGCTCCCTCTCACTTCTCCATCCATCCTAACCAACACCCTCTCACTTCTCCATCCATCCTAACCACCTCCCTCTCACTTCTCCATCCATCCTAACCACCTCCCTTTCACTTCTTCATCCTCCCCTACCTGACGTCCCGATCACCATCCAGGAACTGCACCATCATCTCCACCACAAAGTCCATGTCCTTGACAGCCAGGACCTGCAGACACCTGACGCTGCTGAGGATGAAGGCCTTCTCCGCCTCCACAGCACAGGTCGGGGGCTTGCTGTGGTGGTTCAGGGCAGAGTAGATGGCCTTCTGGACCTGCACAGTGACAGTCCCTGTCAGACTCTCCTGGGTGAACAGTAGTGTCAGGGCCTCCACCACAGCCGTCTTGTGCTCCAGCTCTGCTATCCGGATCAACTTCAGGATCATGTTCGCAAGAGTGTCGGAGTTCCATGGTTTCGGCATTGTCTGTGGGATTGGCATTAGAATGATCAGGTCTTTCTTATGAGCACCTTTTGGTAAGGCATTAACGTTTGGAGAGAAGAAAATGCATGATTGGACTTGTGATAAATCTTAACCTTGATTCATGTAACTTACGGTTTTAATACTGCTTTAAGCCTTAACCCTAACTTAGTGATTTAGGGATAACACTCTTAACAGTATTTTAATCAATTCAGAGTGAGTGAGTGAGTGAGTGAGTATGGTTTTACGCTTTTAGCAATATTCCAGCAATATCACGGCGGGGGACACCAGAAATGGGCTTCACACATTGTACCCATGTCGGGAATCGAACCCGGGTCTTCTGCGTGACGAGCGAACGCTTTAACCACTCGGCTACCCGACCGCCCTAATCAATTCAGAGGTCACCTTGATGTTTTCGGGGTGCTCATGCCTAAAAGATATTGATTTTGAGGGAAATATAACAAGCACAAACTTGTTTTACAGATCAAGGAACACAAGTAGGAATCAGGGATTGAATTCAGCAGATCCTGGCAACTAAGGGACACAACTCTGCATAGCAAATATGGACACAATCAATGGTCAAAGTCTTATATCTAAAACAACGACTACTACTGGCATAATTTAACCTGACAGTCACCCAAGTTTCCTCTCCCCACCCCGACCCCATCCTCCTCACTACCGAAACCCAGCCTCACATCATTTTATTATTGTAGAAATTGCTGTGTTCCATCTGCCTTTACATGACTGACTACATAATATCACTTATCTTGACGCTAATCACATCTGTCAACATTCAGTAATCACAGATGCATTGAACAGTTTGTAAAAAAATAGAAACACAACAGAAAATGGTCAATTGCTACAGAACTGACATAATACCCAAACAAGTACGTTGTGTAGCTGAACTTGCTCCTCTCTCGTATGTTTGTGTATCAATATATACTACTCAAAAGAAGTCAAGGACCACTCTAGACTTTCACATTACTCTAGTTAATCTGCAGTGGCGTGACAGATTACCGTATTCGACGTAATAAGCGCCCCGCTCTAATAAGCGCCCACGGCGATCTTTGCTAATATATTGGCTAGTGAACAATCCAAATTAGCACCCCTTCTGATTGATCAATGTACACAAGACTTATTTATTTGTGTATAATACACACACGTGTGTTATATGCACCCTTAATTATTGGCAATTAAATTCTGGAAAAATATATCTGTCGTATATAAACATTTCAGGCTGTCAGCATAAACCACGAAAATTGTCTTTCAACTAGAGCTGTTTTTTCACCAAAATAATATTCTAATAAGAGCCCCTAATTTCTAATTTTGAGGGCGCCCTGGACGCTTATTACGTCAAATACGGTACTGTAATATTGTAAAAGAATCATGTGGAGCTTAACTTCTTTTTGGTAGTATATGTTGCGATTTAACAAGGCACAGATCACTATAATATTTTCAAAAATATCACCAGTTATAATGAAAAAATAGCTAAATTCTATGAACCATTTACTTTATATTTTTAAAATATAGTACAGAAAGAATATCACCTTCCATTACAACAATATATTCTAATGAATAAATAATGAATGTGACACTGCAGAAGTGGAGAACTCAACACTACAACCTAGTAACACAAGCCAAATAAATGAGTGAGTGAGTGAGTTGGGTTTAACGCCGCTTTTAACAGTGTTCCAGTTATATCAGGGCGTGTCAGCTTAACGTGGGAGGAAAGCCCGAAGTGATGCAGGTCTCAGACGTTTACCACTTTGGTGAAACCCACGAGCACAGGTATGGTGCTGACAAACCTAGAAACATAATCGGGGTGAACCGGGATTCGAACCCACAATCATAGGTTTCTGGCGTGCCCAAGGGATGCAACTCTGCACAGTGAATCGCGGCGCCTTAGACGACTGGGCCACCCGTGCCCCCGTCAAATAAATGAACTTTCCACTGAACCTTCAGTTTAGTTAAATATTTTGTGACCAATCATGAGAGCAGGGACCTTATGGGTGAAAAATTACATTTTGACTTCTTAATCTATTTTAAAGCTTAGGACCATAAGAATGCAGTTCATACTCCTCAATTCATATTTATTACACAGATAGATGGCATCAAACATTTGGACTCCCATTTTCCTACTAATACCGTATTCGACGTATTAAGCGCCTGGGGCACTCTCAAAATTGGAAATAGTGGGCTCTTATTAGAATATAATTTTGGTGAGAACAAGAGTTTGGTGAGTTGAAAAATTGTAAATTTCGTACAGTAGTTTATGCTGACAGCCTGAAATGATTCAAAAGAAAAGTATGTACGTATCATACACGAGAGATATATTTTCCAGAATTTAATTGCCCACAATTAAGGGTGCATATAACACACGAGTGAGTATTATACACGAATCAATAAGTCTTGTGTACATTGATCAATCGGAAGGGGTGCTAATTGGGATTGTTAATATATTAAAAATATCCCAAATATATTAGCAAATATCGCCATGGGCGCTTATTAGAGCGGGGCGCTTATTACGTCGAATACGGTAACTGTTTAATGTAATGGTTGCAGTTTTTAAATATAATGTCTGCTTAATTGAAAGTAGACATGTATGCTGAAATGTTTTGAAATGTTCTTTTACATTACGAACTAACGAGAAAAAAAGGATATTTTGCACACATGGTCTGCACACATGGTATATTTAGTGAAGGTAGTTGACGTCAATAGAGGTTATCACGCGAGTGTGTTTGGGGATGGTAAATATGCTGCATTAGGAATAAACATTGTATTTAGCGAGCCTTGACGAGCTAAATACATAGTGTTTATTCCTAATACAGGATATTTACCATCCCCAAACAAACAAGCGTGATAACCTCTTTATCATATAATGTCATTCTTTAATTCTGTGCTTCAAAATTGCTTTCCCTCGCTCACAAACATTACCGAAACAGTGTGAGTTTTCCTGGAATGCGCGCATTAGTATTTATTACGTCACAGGGTAAGTGATGTGTCAGTCTGACAGTGACAGTAGCCAGTATAGTTCCAACTGAAATCTGTTTCTTATACAGTGGCGAAGCAACATATACGCAAAACAACAATGCAAGAAATGCAAGAAATAACAGAAAAAATAAGAAAACATCGAGATACCTAATAGTGTGGAACAATACAGTGTGTCGCGGTATAAAGGAAATCGATCAAAGCGTGTGAGAGAAAAAACGTGCAGCATGGACCTGCTGGTGTCATGACATGTAAAATTAAACAACTTCTCATCACCTGCCCCAGTAGCTCAGTGGGAAAACAGTGGGTTACAAAACTTAACATGACGTGTGAGGTTGCAGGTTCAATTCACGTCATGGAATTCATGTTAAAAAATTAGACTTTTAACCACTCATCAAGCACAGCTGTGTTCATATCAAGAGGCAAGTTTATAAAACGTTAATTGTAAAACCTAGGTATTACAATTGAAATATAAAACCTCAAAGCAGGTTCAGAAGTGACCCATTTCAAAACCTCGGTTTGGAAGATGAGCTGGTTACTACGTTTACCCGAGGTTGTCAGGAACCTAATGCAATATAGGGTGACACGGTGATAGGTTTATAAATTTCTGTAATACCTGTGCTAACTCTGACCCCAAGAGACCTAATTCACATGACACAAATCAAATTACTTACTTTCTCGGTACAGTTGGGAAAGTACTTCTCAAACCACTCCGTACCAATGAACTGCTTGATGAAGTTTGGTAGTGGTGTGGGTGGGGGTGGTGGAGTGGGGGTGTGGGTATCCGGGGAAGGAGACGGTGAGGGTATCGGCACTCTGGGCCTCGATACCAGCTTCCTGATCGGCTGGACAGGCTTCAGTTCTCTCTTGGGTGGTGACGGAACCCGAGGTGCTTCTGGCTGACCAGAAGACTCTGGACTCTCCCGGTCCTGGTGAGGTGATGCTGACTTTGGAGACAACACAACTTCCTCTTCCTAGCAACAAAACAAAATCAGGACATGATACTTAAATAACACTTTAAATATATGAAGGTCTAAAGACTTTTGGCTAACCAAATTAATTAAAAACAAAACAATTAATTTGTGGACCTCCATCTTTCTTTTATTTTATCATGTGAAAAAGTTGTTTGGGTTGGTAAATTTAGTGGCTAAAAATATATTGTTGATTCTGTTTAAAGTGCACAATGTTCATGATTTTCAAGTAATTAGTAGATGTATTTAATTCTCTCAGGTGTATTTAGTGAGTGAGTATGGTTTTACGCCGCTTTTAGCAATATTCCAGCAATATCACGGCGGGGGACACCAGATATTGGCTTCTCACATTGTAACCATGTCGGGAATCGAACCCGGGTCTTCAGTGTGACGAGCAAACCCTTAAACCACTAGGCTACCCGACCTCCCCTCAGCTGTATCTAAGCTCACCAGTTGCCATCAATTAGCAATCAGTGACTCTTTAGTTTGATATTCTTGTTTGCTATAAATATCAAAAGACGATCAGAGATAAGTTTGTATAATGCTAATGTATCTAATCTGTATCTAGACACTTCAACACAATCAACATATATCAATCTCAGCAACAAAGACAATTCAGGCATGACTTAACTAAGTAGTGACGCACCTGTTTGCTAATCATTTTGTTTATTCAGAATCATTTGAGAACAATGTTAAACTGTGAGCAATGTTAGAAGCATATTGTCAATATGGAAACACACTGGCCCAAGAGTGATCACGACAGAAATGCTGAAAGTATATACCAAGTACGTCTTTTGCCACAATGAAAAAGGTTCTAAAACTACATGCTACCAACAGGAAGCCTTACCTAAAACTAAGAAAAGTATGTTGATAAATTTGTGAGACAGACTTTCAAAACCTTCCACAGTGCTCACAGTTAAATACATCAACATATTTTTCAATGGAACTTTAATTTGGCAAATACCATGTTACCCATTACTGCCATCTTGTTAAAGTTCAGAAGAGTCCATCATATCCAGTCATGGTTGATTGTGTAACCAATAAAATCTTTGCCCAAGAGAAAAATTTAAACAGCTATAGTGTGTGTGAGTATTAGTGTGAATGTGTGTGTGACTAGTAATACATTTTGCAAACCCCCTCACCCATCCCTTTTTATGTAACATTTTTACATGGGCCCCTCCTCCTATAATAAATCCCCCCACTTCCCCTTTGGCAGTGTCAGTTTTTCATGGCCCCTATCAAGAAAGTCTGAGTCTGAGAAAAGTCATCTTCCGAGGCAAGTGAGTTAACTGACTATAAAAGTCCAGTTTCCACCCTTGCCGAACAAGGCTGGTATTATGGAGTTACATTTTGGCTGGACTAACGAGTCTATGCATAGTCCAATCAAAATCGCGCACCGAAATCGAAATCCGGTTCGTAAAGTGTCATGCAGATTTCGGTCGACTGCAGAATTTGCAAAGCATGTGCACCGCTAACTCGTTGTCAACAGATATTTTCTATATCTTTTCATGGTTTTAATCAAGGTGCTCACGTGATTTGATGCTGTTCGTGATGTATGACTCGTTTGATCACAATATAGATCTTGATTATCGATCAGATCGTCTTGACTGGGTGCCACCGTTTTGTTTGAAGCAAATGCAAGTGATACGAGAGTTTGGATCTGATTGGTCAATAGGAGAGGCATAGAAAGGACATTACTCGTAATAGCCACTGGTGGCGCTACGATCGAGCCCAGGAATTCCAGCCTAGTTCGGGAAGGGTGGAAACTGGACTTTTAAAGACAGTTAACTCTCTTGCCTCGGGAAGATGGAGAAAAGAGTACAGAGCAGTGATAGAAACTAACAGTTTTAGCCCACTAGTCCTATAATGATAACATATAGGAAAACCCTTAGAAAGGGCAAACTTCTACTAGTCCGTAGGACACCTTAACTATTGGGCACTTTGGCAAAGACTATAGGACTAGTGCCAATTTCTAACGCTACAGAGGTGTATCGGTTAACATACCTGTTGGGTATAACCTACCTTAGGAGAAGGGGTCCGTGTCATGATGCTCTGCATCTTGGACATGAGAGATGATGACTTGACCGATGTACGACGAGACCCCGCCCCATCTGGCTGTGGACTGGTTGGTGTTCCTAGTCCATCCTCATCTTCATCATCATCATCATCACCCCAGTCAAACACTCTCACAGTATCGACATCCTCACCAGTAGCAAATGTGACTGACTTCATTTCTCCCAAGGATGGGTCGTTGTTCTGTGGTACAATTGAGGCCTTGATTGTAACATCTCAGATATTGTGCTGCTAATTTGCAATAGATTTGCCATGTCTTTTGGGGTAGACTTCTACCCGTCTGAATAGGGATAACAACAAAATATCACAGATGTCCAACTTAGAGACAGTGCTGACTTACTGATGCAAACTTCCTATTTCTATTCTTCTTATATCTATTCAACATTTTGGTACAGATGCTTGTGTCATTATGAGGTGAGGTGAAATGGGGTTAAACGTCGCATCCAAGATTATTTCACTTATATAGCAAAGTGCATGCATGTGTGTATGGCTGCTTGAACTAGTCCGGAATGATGACAATTTTTTAGTGCCAGCCCACTGAGATACCATGCTGCAGTTTAACATGAATATCCCAATCAGACATAGAATACTTGCTCTGAGCCGACCAGTCCTTGGTTTAGCCCCTTAATGCCGAGCGCCAGGCAGGGTAACAAGTACCATCTTTTAACGTCTTTTGGTTTGAGGCGTGAGGGGATCGAACCCCGGACCTACCGCTCTCCGGGTGGACGCTCTACCACTAGACCATGGAGGCCGTCATACCTTTGTGAAGCAGGTTTCCCTATTAACTACAGGTTGTAAACTGTCACCGGCAGGCACCTACCTTGTTCAACTGGTTGATCTGATCAAGCTGGTCCGCTGTGAGACAGGGGGGTGCATATGTGCCCTGTCTCTCCATGTCGACCGGGCGGGGCGGGGGCCACAGCAGCTTCACCAGCACCGAGTTGGGGATGAAGCCGCCGTGGTTGATGGGGTAGGCTGGCTTCAGGGGCTTAGCTGGTGTGGAGGGACGAGGAGGGAAGAACCCGGCAGGCTCTTTAACTCCATGGAACTCCTCTGTGGAAAGAGAAACAAGGCTGTTAGTGCTACATGTTTTGATGTTGTTTTGCTTGTTGTTTAACCCTGCATAAAATCCATTTGTATGATGGTGGCCTGTAAATAAGAGTCTGAACCAGACAATGATGTGATTGTTATATTATAGGGGCGCGATAACTTGTAGAATTTTCCTATTCGGAATATTCTATAAGTAATACGTTACCACTGTTATACCGAGGCTGTTGTCTCCCACAACTGCTGCTATAGCGAAATCTACCACAGAGATCTCAATTACCTCATGCAGCACGTGCGTAGCCACCTAGCTGCCATGTGACACCCTTCACTCTTGTCTCCTGCGAGAGCAAGTGCTCGGGGGACGGACGGGCGGGCAGCAGCCCAGTGGTAACGTATTACTTATAGAATATTCCGAATAGGAAAATTCTACAAATTACATTAAGTAATACGTTACCACTGTTATACCGAGGCTGACTACCACAGTAGGCGGTGGGGAGCACCTACAACCCGAATCCTGACTGCTAGCGTTCCTTCCGACCAGCGGAAGTAAACACCAAGGCGGAAGCACTCGATGCGCATGCACCTAGCTAGGCGTTACCCTATAGGAATACCAAAGCACTGTCAAGCGCATACCGTAAGGCTCAATCGTCAATGCCAAAACGATTGGTGACTCCAAACGGCCCCACTGGATAGGTATTTCATCGCCGCAGCGGATGAGAACACTGTATCCGCGTGAGCTAAATCTTAGATCAGGTTAAACAGTCGAAAAGAGGGAAATTAATTTCCTTCAGACCGTATATCCCAGAGCAAGCCTACTTAAAGTATGCATTAGGCGCGTGACCTAATTCCAGTATTCGTAAGCATGTATCGCAAGGTTGGAATACACGACAGACAATTAAATGCATAATTGTCAAAATACAAATAAGGACAAAACACACAAAAAGCCGCCTCACCTGTGGTGTGAGTGCGCTGGTTTGCAGGACCCCCACTCCTGTACCCACGGCGTGGGAACATTGGAGACGACCCAGATTGACCACCGTGCAAGGACTGACGACTGCGGAGTTTGGAATTGCGCTGGACACACCCCCTAGATGACCGCTTGTGCCGCGATCAGCGGCCCAAGACGGTGCACCCCCTCCACGTCTTCATCAGAAACCTTTCTGAGGTAATGATTGGCAAAAACCAAGTCAGAACGCCAGTAACAACCTCGTAATATTCTGTGAACAGAGATATTCGAGTGTAGGGCAAATGTTGCCGCTAGCGCCCTGATCTCGTGCGGGTTTGACCCCGCTACCGGTAACCCCCGAGACCGGTACGCCAGATTGATGACAGAACGAAGCCACAACGCAATCGAGTTGCGAGTTATGTCAACCGTGCGATTAGGGTTACACGATATGAACAGACCGTCACGCCCTTGTCTACGTTCATTCGAAGCCTTAAGATAATACTTAAGGGCCCTAACCGGACACAGCGCTCTGTCCTCAGTATCAGCAGGATGTAAGATTTCTTTGAGGGATCTTACAGTGAATTCTCTCTCCGTTTGCCCGACTCTCTGATTCTTGGCGACGAAGCCCATGAGCAGGCCCAGGCGGACCGCTCCTTCGTCACCCCTATCGAATCGTACCTTGGCGACATCGAGTGCATGAATTTCGGATACACGTGCCGCCGTGGCAAAGGAGAGGAGAAATGCTGTTTTCCAAGTCACATGCCGGAACGAAGCACTATGCAAGGGTTCATACAGAGCTTCCGTGAGTGATTGCAACACTAGGGAAAGATCCCAGGCCGGTGCCCGAAGGCGGCCCTTCTTAAGATCGTGCTGTTTGAAACCCTTGATAATACCCCGTATCACCGGCTCTTTGGAGAGACTGGTACCCATAGCAACGTCCCGTACCGTAGCAACGGACGAGACATAGTTGGCAATGGAACCCCCGGAGAGTTTCCGGGTCTCTCGCAAGTGAGACATGAAACGAGCAATATCCTGCACAGATACCTTATCTGGCGAATGAATGTGATGTTTACAACACCACTTCGTGAAAATAACCCAACGTGCATTATACACCTTCTGGGTAGAATCACGATGCATACTAACGTATGCCCGAGACGCCCGGCGAGAAAAACCTTTACTCCTCAGACGCTCGGTGACAACATCCACGCGTGCAGATTGAACTGCCCTGCGTTTGGATGAAGCTGACGGGTGTGAGGGTGGATCAAGAGATCCGGTCTCACAGGCAGTGGGAGTGGCGACTGCGTGACCTGGGTCAGCAAGTCGGGGTACCACGATCTGTTCGGCCACATGGGCGCGATCAGTAACATTCGACAGCGAACTCCTCGAAGCCGGCTTAGAATGTGTGGTATCAACGCTGTCGGCGGGTAAGCATAAGCGTCCAAGCCCGTCCAGTCTAACGCGAGAGCATCGTGATCGATGGCCCTCGGGTCCGGGACTGGTGATACAAACAACGGGAGTTGATTGTTGAACCGTGTTGCGAACAGGTCGACCATCGGACGACCCAAACGTTCGCACAGCCACTGAAACACCACTGGGTTCAGCATCCACTCTGTGGGGCTCGGATCCTGAGGCCTCGATAGAGCATCGGCCAGTACGTTCCGCACACCTGGGATGTGACGGGCGCGTATCTGGCACGGGACACTGTCCACCAGAGCGTAAAACTCGAACGTGAGATCGAGTAGCGAGTGACTGTGGGTTCCCCCCAGTTTGTTCACATAGGACACTACCGTCGTGTTGTCGGTCGCCAGCATGAGCCGGGCGTCGACGAGACGATGCTTCCAGTGATTGACTGCGTTGATCACTGCCTTGAACTCGAGACAATTGATGTGAAGACCTAGTTCGTCTACGCACCACAGCCCCGAGCTCACCTCCCCCTCTAGATGGGCGCCCCAGCCCACTAGAGAGGCGTCTGTATACAGGTTCAACGTGGCCCGGTAGGGCCGCATAGAGACTCCTGATAAGACATTGTAAGGGAGCGTCCACCACTCCAGATGCGGTCGGAGCCGATCCGGGAGGGCGACGGTCGCACTGTTCACCTCCGTTGCTAACAACTGGATTAAAAACCGTTGCAGCGGGCGGAGTTGGAGACGACCCCGTTCGGTGCAGTCCTGGGCTGATACAAGTAGCCCTAACAGCTGTTCCCAAAAGTGAACAGTCTGTTGCACCGCTAAGACTTTGGCAATCATCGCCTGAATTTTGTGCCACCGGTCTGGGGGGACAAATAGGCGATGGGACACCGTGTTGAACCGACCTCCGATGAACTGCAAGTTCTGAGAAGGGGTTAACTCGCTCTTGGGGAGATTGACAATCCACCCCAATTGCTCCAAGAGCCGACGTGCGAAAACGAGATGGCGTGACAGGGTGTCCGACATTCGATTTGCTACTAGCGAGTCGTCCAGGTACGCGAAGTACCGGACACCCCTCCGGTGGAGGAACCCCACTATGGGGGTGGTTAACCGGGTGAACAGCCAGGGAGCGGATGAAAGACCGAATGGGAGTACAACCCACTCGTAGTGCCTGCCTTGAAAGACAAACCTGAGATACTTCTGATGATCCGAGTGAATCGGAACATGCAGATAAGCATCCTTCAGGTCGATCGAAGCTAGCCAGTCGGCCGGCATGATCAGTGCTTTCAGGTCCGTCAAGCTCAACATTCTGAACTTGGGCGGTTTGCGCAGGTAGAACTCGTTGAACGATTTCAAGTTGTGAATCATTCTGAGTTCGGCACTGTCCTTCTTGGGAACGAGAAATATCCTGGAGTAAAACCCCGGTGTTATTTCTGGTAGAGCTAACTCCCGAACTGCCCTCTTCTCCACCAACCTGCCGATGGCATCGGCGAGGAAGGGAAGATCGGTTTCCGAATAGAAACCTGCCGACGGGGCAACGGTGAGCGGCGGATTCGCTATGAGATCGAGCCGATAGCCGTACCGAATCGTGTTGACCACCCACGGGTCGTCGAACACTTGTTCCCAATTCTCCCAGTAAGTCTGGAGTCTGGCTCCCACTGGGGAAAGAGAGGGGGGCCGGACGGGCTGCGGCAGGCGCAACTGTCCAGGGCCAAGTGACTCGGGTTCGCCTACGGGCCAACCGAAGTTGGCGCTGTCGGCATACGAACCCCTCCAATGAGAGTCACCTGGAGGGGCCCTTGCCGTCCTTAGACGACTTGGGCTTCCCCCAGTTCCCCTTCTTCCCGCGAAAGGGCTGCTGAGAACCCTTACCGGAGCCCTCAGAGCGGGGCTTCTTCCCGGAGGAAGAAGGACCCGACCCCTTAGGCCTGCCGGACGCAGCATCCTGGGGCGCGCTCCGCTTCGGAGCGGCACCCAGGCGCCTATGCAAGGACCCCACAAGATCCAGTGTGTGCCGAGAGGCCTCGGCAGACACAGCGGCCTGTTGTTCCTTCAGAACCCCAGGGATCTTGTTATTAAACAGGGTCCGAGCAGACCAAGGCTGCGAAAGGAGCACCTCCTGATTAGCAGCGTCCAACCCTGAAGCAACCAGATACGACTGGCGCCGAAGAAAATGGCACGTGCCGGAAACAAAGGCCGAAGCCCCGGCAACGTACTCCAGGGAAGCATTCAAACCGAGCAAGCAGTTGTAAATGCGCTGGTCTCGGTCCGTGGGAGAACCTTCGACCAGACTGGCCGCTGCAGCCAGGTATGTGTCTCCGTGAGACATTGCCAGCATGGAGTGTCGAGCGAGGGTGTCCAGCTGTTGCAAGGTACCTTGTGGTACCGTGGCAACCGGTGGGGCACGGACCCCCAAACGCTCCACATGGGCTTCCGCAGAAGGACCAGCCTCGGGAAAGGCAAGGTCATGTACTGGGAAAGACCCTTTTCTCCACGACGGGGGAGGTAACGGGAGACCCCGACCGGAGGCAGCCGTGAAGGCCTTCTCCAAAGAAGGCTTAATCCCGCGCAGCAAGGTTGATGCCGGGAAAGCCTTGTCGGACGTCTCGTCGTATACCTCGGAGGAACCCACGGAACCGTGGATTCCCCGCGGTATCGGCAGGGGCTTTGGCATGTCCTCGAAGAGGTCATACACCATGGCAACGCGGTCCTTAACCGATAGCGGAAGCAACGGTTCGGGGGAAGGACCGGTAACCACGGCAGCCGCCGCCGTACCGGTGGACCCCGCGTCCGAACCCGCGGCCACCGAAGAGGCCGGGGACGGAACAGCCAGCGGCCTATCTTGCGATAAGGCCGCCAGCTTGGAGTCCACAAGTTTCGACAATAATGCGGCGACGGAAGCCCCAGACAGCCCGAGGGCCGCAAGGGGATCCGCCGCAGCCGAGGAGGTGGTACCCGCACGGGGACCCCGACCGGACGAACCGGCCACCACAGGGGTGGAGACGGACTGTACATACAGCCGGTACCGCTCAAACTCCGCAGGCCCCAGACCTTCGCACAGGGTACACCGGGTGTCCCCGCAAGGAACCCTGCACCGCGGGCAACGATCGTGGGGATCCCGGGATGACAAAAACTTTCTGCACACCCCACAACTCCGAGGAGCAGGGGTAGAGGGGGTGGATACTGGGGACATATCCATGTCAGACATTGTTTGCTATAAACAAAGAACAAAACATGGTTACAACGCACGCACCACAACGATTCACAAACGAGCATTTTCACAAGAAAATAAACGAGCAATGTGAACATATAACATACACATATAACTTTTATTAAAGAAATAAGTTATGTTAACCCCCAAAACATACAAGAACAGGGGAAACGTAAAACACAACGTGCATACGCGAACCCCGCAAGTATAGAGAAAAAAGGGCGGGAAAAATTTTCCGTTTGGCGGGAAAATTATAACCAAGCGTAGCTACCGCAACGCCCCATAAAAGCACAGTTTATTAGAGAATAAACTATAATAAATATCACCAAATCTTCCAGGAACGCTTCAGCAGGAGAAAACACGTCTTGCTAAGCAGACGAAGGAGACAAGAGTGAAGGGTGTCACATGGCAGCTAGGTGGCTACGCACGTGCTGCATGAGGTAATTGAGATCTCTGTGGTAGATTTCGCTATAGCAGCAGTTGTGGGAGACAACAGCCTCGGTATAACAGTGGTAACGTATTACTTAATGTAATATGCTGTCAACCTGACCCATTAAATCGATTCTTAACATAGGTTACGGGTACCTATTCTAACCTACAATCCCCACAGGGTGTAAATGGTTTAAGATAATATTTTCACCAATATGTCACAGAGTATTGTTACATTATAACATGGCAACTAGCAGCATACATACCTTCTGCAGGTCCATCTGTCCCGTCCAGTCTCCGCTTGACCGTGTCCTCAGGGAAGGGATCATCGTCCGGCAACTGTGATTTGAATGAGAGAACGAATGGGTTGAGTGTTACTCTTGTTTAGGAATATTCCAGCAATATCACAGCAGGGGACACCAGAAATGGGCTTCATACATAGTATCTATGTGGGGAATTGAACCCAGACCTTTGTCCAAATGAGTGAATGCTTTATCCACTGGGCTACCCCAATGGCCCTGTCTATGTGGAGGGCTTTACAAAGAGCGATAAACTGGACACCGTTGTGTCGAAGTTGAAAGGTCCTACATAAATACTTTGAGTTAACCGAGGTTTGACATAACAGAAAATGATAAATAAAGAAGGAATACACAGGGACCAATCTTTAATTTTGAGACAAATGTAAGTTTGACACATCTAAGTTCAACACAACAGTGTTTGACTGTACTTAAACATTTGTTATGCGAATACATAAGGATGTCCTTTGTTCCCACACTAACAGAAAGATGATTTGAGAGAGTTTAAGCTACAGAGACAATCAGTGAGTGAATTGTACTTACTGCTGCATTGAACAAAGTGTCAGTGATATCACGGTGTGTCATGTAAGTGTCGAAAGGAAATCCAAAGTGACAGAATGAAGACATTTACAATGACTACAGAAGTGCTTACAGATCATAGATAATAATCTAAGCAGATCTACTAATCAGTGGGTGAGGGCAGCTTAAGGCTCAGTCACACATTCAGGATTTGTACTGCCGTCCTTGATAGGACCATTCCCGATTAAACTTTGCTAAAAGTCTGATCAAGATCCTGTGATTCATGGCGGGAAATTCACAAACAATCAGATATTGTTCAGAAAGTGTCCCGATTCAACCGTTTCCAGACGAATTTGTCCCGATTCTCTCGTTCTCAATCTGAATCTGATCCGATTTGTATCTTCCGCATGGTAAAAAAACTACCAAATCTGTCCTGACAGCATCCCAATTCTCCCGAATGCAATCACACAGAGATCAGACAGTGACCGGACAGTGAACCGACAAAGATGGTTTGCATTCGGCAAGATCTGGAAACAATCTGGACTCAATCGACAAGAAATGGCATTGAACAATTCATGCCCGTTCATCACAACAGTGTCCCGATCCACAGGACCACGTCCAGACAACACAAGACATTGTTACAATTTTAATCAAATACAGCAGAATCTGTCACGACATATTCACGATTGTAATCCGACTAGGCAAAATCGGCTGAGTTTTCCGAATGTTACAGGACACACCATACTGTCAGGAGTGCTTGACCGACCTCTCTGGACCTTTCCCAATCCGTAGGACTCTGTTATGAATGCATACGACTGCGTTCAGACAACGACAGGATATTCCAGATCATTGAGGATAGTAATCCAACTTTTTCACTTTTCGTGTCATAGCGCTGTCTGATCTCAAACGGGAGCCATAATCGGCACGATTATTGCCAATCGCCAGGCAGGGTAACAACAAATACCATAATTTAAGGTCCTTTGGCTAGACACAATTGGGGATCTTACCACTGACCTCCACTCTCTGGGCAGAGGCTCTAGAGAAGTAAATCGTTTCTGTGAGGCCCTGAATGTAAGAGTATGCTTATTATGCGTATGTCTAATTAGTATTCTGAATCAAACCTTCTAATTTCTGCTTAAGTCATAAACGTGAGTGAATGAGTATGGTTTTACACTGCTTTTAGCAATATTCAAGCAGTATCACGGCGAGGGACAGAAATGGGCTTCACACATTGTATCCATGTCGGGAATGGAACCCGGGTCTTCGGCGTGACGAGCGAACACTTTAACCCCCAGCAGGCTACTCGACCGCCCTGAAGTCCTAAAAGAACTTCAACAATACTATGGCTCTACCAGTGCTGGATGACTGTAAAGGGTATCCCGGCATCACTCACCTTGATCTTGGGCTTGTCATAGAACATCTTCATGTAGTTGAGGAAGGCTTCCGACTTGGTCTCCTTGGTGGCCATGGGCTTCATCTTGGCCTTCAGCTCACCATCACGGATACGAAGCAGCTCCTTCTCCCGAGCCTCAAGCTCCGAGAATGCCTGGTGCAGAGCAGACAACATTCATGATAATAATGATGATAATGGTGTATTGGTAGTAATGGCAATGATGACTGGTGGATCAGGGAAGTTGGTTTCACATTCTTCGAAGAAATTCTTAAAATGCGAAAAATCATTCTGAAATATTTCAGTTTTCTTTCAGTGACCTCTTCACTGTATATTTACTTATTACAGCCAGGAACCCTTTTGATTTGTTAAGATCATTTTTGGTGAAACCCACAAGCATGTGTATGGTGCTGACAAACCTAGAAACATTATCAGGAGAATCTGCTGTATGATCAAAGGGTTCTGGCACCGCCTAAGGGACGCAACTCTACACACTGAATAGCAGACCCTTGGATGACTGGGCCACCTGAAGGATCGACACCTTTCATGATGATGATAATGATGATGATGATGATGATGATGATGGCCTGGTAGTACATGATTCTGTCTCTAGCACCCTAACCACCAGGTTACCCCTATGTGTCATTCATCCATGTTTACTTCTAGGTGTGGAACAAACCTCCTTCTTCACAAGCTTCTCCTTTACCACTTCCTGTTCTTCCTCCTCGGACAGAAGGTCAACGAAATGCTCAAACCTGAAAAATATGGGATATATCATGGCCTTGACCTTCAATCCTTACCCAGCATTAGAAATTGGCACTCGTCCTGTAGTCCTTGCCAAAGTGCCCAATAGTTAACGTATCTTAAGGTCAAGAAGAAATTGGCCGTTTCTAAGGGTTTTGCTATATGTTATCATTGTAAGGACTAGTGGACTGAAACTGTTAGTTTCTACCGTTGCTTACCAAAACAATCTGTCAGCACAAGCTGGTGAGTGAATGTTGTTTTATGCTTGGTCAACTAAACAATGGTAGCCTGTAATCATCTGAGACGTGACTACGGAACCTGGTGGTTGATAGCATGATGCACAAACAACCAGGTTATCCTTTGTTAACCACCTATTTTCATCTTAATCGGCACTTGCAGCAAATATGGAGTATTGGGGACCTATTCTGCTCTGGAATCCATGTAGATCAATCAGTACACGAAGAAAAAAATATTGCTCCTATCAGATACAGAGTTTACAAAAAATAAGAAACTAGCAAAAGAGGAATATTAAAAACACTTCTTTGTCATCCTTGGTGTTGAAAGAAAAGATCATAATATGAATTGAGTTGTAAGGTTTCCATAGCTGGAATAGCTAAATCAGCCATTAAACTTGTAAGAGTTGTTTCCCTTGAACAACAATCCATATCAGACAAGGAAACAAGGAAAAAGATGCATTGAGCCAACCAACCATCCCCTACCACGGACAGTCAAAAGGTAATATGAGATACTGAGATGAAATAACATAAAATGAGCTTCCTGGGGCCTAAATACCATAATCTCTTCCCTGCAATAAACAGCAGACCTTTGAAGATCTGGGGTAGAATAGGTCTTCAGCAACCCATGGTTGCCGTATTAGGCAACTAGGCTTGTCGCAACTAACGGGATCTGGTCAGGCTCGCTGACTTGGGTGATGCATGTCATCATATTGCGTAGATCGATGCTCACGATGTCAGTCACTGGAATGTCTGGTCCAATTTAATTATTTACGGACTGCTGTTATATTGCTGAGTCTGACATTAAACAACAACCAAACAAACAAATCAATAAACAGCAGGAACAACAACAGTGACTGCTCACTTGAAGGAGGATTTGGAGTTCTTCAGCCTCTTCACATCCTGTTTGCTGAGCATGTTGAGGAGGTTGTCGTCATAGGCTACAGGCTCCTCACTCGGCTCCACCTCGAACTTCATCGACACCATGCGGAACTTGTAGGCTCGTGGGAGATCTTAAAATACATAATTATTACTTTGATTAAATTATGTACACATATACAAGGTTTGGTTCAAGGCATCACAAGCAGTAATCTAGCACAATCTTCAGCAAACATCTATGAATCTTTTCTTGCTGAACTTAACAAAATTTCGTTCATATCAAAGTGGATGACGCAAGGATGCAGTCAAGACAATGCTTTATGTAACACGCCCCTACAGCCCATGTGAATCATTACAGTATTCAACAAAGTCTGGGAGTCTGGCATATGTTCATGATGGCAGGTCTGAGATACGAACAAGTGTCAATAATGTTGTTCTTTTGTTATAAAACAATTACAAAACAATAAAGCCGAAGTGAAAATGTGGCTGAAGACATGTTTATAGGGACAGTATGTCGATGGTTGTGTGTATTAAAATCACACATGAAATAATTTCTGAAATAATTCAATTCTCAAACCAAAACAATAGAGCTCCGCACATGGAGATGACAACGCAAGCTCTGCGCAGAGTAAACTGGCTTCAGTCATTTTTTTATTGAATGCAAAATGTGTTTTTCTTACGGATGAGTGACAAAATACTAATTGAGAGCTTGATTAAATTAGAAGCTAGTGTTTATCAAAGCCTAAACATGCCTCAGTCTTATGAGTGGGTGAGTATGGTTTTACGCCGCTTTTAGCAATATTCCAGCAATATCACAGCAGGGGACACCAGAAATGGGCTTCACACATTGTACCCATGTCGGGAATCGAAAGCGGGTCTTTGGCGTGACGAGCGAACGCTTTAACCACTAGCTAGGCTACCCGACCGCCCCCTCAGTCTTATGAAGCCAATCACAAACAAGAGGAGAGTCTGGTAAGCTGACAAGCTTAAATCCTGCGGAGCAAAACATTTTCTCGCAGAAAAAGGCGAGCAGAACCGAATAAGCTCATGGCTATCGGCTATTGTTTACAAACATAGCTTCAGAAGAGTCGATGTCCTGTTCCTTGAGTTAGGGCTGACTTACATCTGTCATATGGTATCTTGAAGAGATGATCCCCCGTCCCAAGCAGTAGGTCTCCTTTATGGCTGCAGAACCCTATACTCAGTGGCATTGTGTTAAGCCGCAACAACCTGTAAAATTCCATTGGTAACTGATATACATAAGCTTCAGTGAGTGAGTGAGTGAGTGAGTTTGGTTTTAACGCCACTTTTAACAATATTCCAGTTATATCGCGGCGTGTCAGCTTAATGTGGGAGGAAAGCCCGAAGTGATGCAGGTCTCAGACGTTTACCACTTCGGTGAAACCCACGAGCACGTGTATGGTGCTGACAAACCTAGAAACATAATCAGGGCGAACCGGGATTCGAACCCACAATCAGAGGTTTCTGGCCTGCCCAAGGGATGCAACTCTGCACAGCAAATCGCGGCGCCTTAGACGACTGGGCCATCCGTGCCCCCTTTTTCATATGTGTATAGTTAATCTGTTTCGGCCATGACAGCTCACCATGGTCATATGATTTTATTGGTCGTTCTTTAACTTCTTTTGAGTAGTATAACAAAGAAGTCTGTATGGAATGAAAGGAGTTGTAAACTATGATTGCGCAAATCAGCGGTCAATAGCATGAGCAGCAATCCGAGCAATATTGTACTAGTGATCTGCCAGGTCAAATTCAAACTGTGCACACACACAGAAACAATTTCATTTCATATGCTCTTGATAATTGTTTAGCTACTGAGTATGTACTCATCTGTAATCTTCCAATTGGGTTTTCCAATTTCCTTTGTGTATTCAATATTATTTAATACCTTTGGGACCAGTACATTGGTTACTGGTATGTCAGTATTGTCAATACTTGACAGATTTTGTACACAATACATTCCCCCATCACCCTTGAATACAAAAAACCGCAGTAGTGGTGGGAATCTTAGATGAGGAAAGTTTTGACCTCACCTGTCGAGAGTTTTGACCTCACCTAATGAGAGTTTTGACCTTGTCTGATGAGAGTTTGGACCTCACCTTATGAAAGTTTTGACCTCACCTTATGAAAGATTTGACCTCACCTGGTGAAAGATTTGACCTCACCTGGTGAGAGTTTTGATCTCACCTTATGAAAGTTTTGACCTCACCTTATGAAAGATTTGACCTCACCTGGTGAAAGATTTGACCTCACCTGGTGAGAGTTTTGATCTCACCTTATGGAAGATTTGACCTCACCTGGTGAGAGTTTTGACCTCACCTTATGAAAGATTTGACCTCACCTGATGAGAGTATTGGTTTCGTTCCAGATTCGGACAGTGCCATCCATGCTGCAGGTAGCGAACAGTTTCATCCGTGGACAGGAGGTCATCCCTGTGATCAGGTCAAGGTGGTCATCATCTGGCTTGTGGTCAAACCGATCTAAATATGGCAAGAACAGTGACGTGATAGAGGCACATCATCCCATGATATCGTACTTAGTGTTGATATAGAGACATAATCATACTTCGTGTTGATATAGAGACATGATCATACTTAGTGTTGAAATAGGGACATGATCATACTTAGTGTTGATATGGGGACATGATCATACTTAGTGTTGATATAGAGACATGATCATACGTCATGTTGATATAGAGACATGATCATGCTTAGTGTTGAAATAGGGACATGATCATACTTAGTGTTGATATGGGGACATGATCATACTTAGTGTTGATATAGAGACATGATCATACTTAGTGTTGATATGGGGACATGATCATACTTAGTGTTGATATAGAGACATGATCATACTTAGTGTTGAAATAGGGACATGATCATACTTAGTGTTGATATGGGGACATGATCATACTTAGTGTTGATATAGAGACATGATCATACTTAGTGTTGATATGGGGACATGATCATACTTAGTGTTGATATGGGGACATGATCATACTTAGTGTTGATATGGGGACATGATCATACTTAGTGTTGATATGGGGACATGATCATACTTAGTGTTGATATGGGGACATGATCATACTTAGTGTTGATATGGGGACATGATCATACTTAGTGTTGAAATAGGGACATGATCATACTTAGTGTTGATATGGGGACATGATCATACTTAGTGTTGATATAGAGACATGATCATACTTAGTGTTGATATAGAGACATAATCATACTTCGTGTTGATATAGAGACATGATCATACTTAGTGTTGAAATAGGGACATGATCATACTTAGTGTTGATATGGGGACATGATCATACTTAGTGTTGATATAGAGACATGATCATACTTAGTGTTGATATAGAGACATGATCATGCTTAGTGTTGAAATAGGGACATGATCATACTTAGTGTTGATATGGGGACATGATCATACTTAGTGTTGATATAGAGACATGATCATACTTAGTGTTGATATGGGGACATGATCATACTTAGTGTTGATATAGAGACATGATCATACTTAGTGTTGAAATAGGGACATGATCATACTTAGTGTTGATATGGGGACATGATCATACTTAGTGTTGATATAGAGACATGATCATACTTAGTGTTGATATAGGGACATGATCATACTTAGTGTTGATATGGGGACATGATCATACTTAGTGTTGATATAGGGACATGATCATACTTAGTGTTGATATGGGGACATGATCATACTTAGTGTTGATATGGGGACATGATCATACTTAGTGTTGATATGGGGACATGATCATACTTAGTGTTGATAGAATGACACAATACCATTCTTAGTGTTAATATAGGCTCATGATACCATACTTAGTGTTGATTTATGGACTTGATCATACTTAGTTTTGATAAAGGGATATGATCATCCTTAATATTGATATAGGGACACCCTACCATACTTAGTGTTGATATAGGGACATGATACCATACTTAGTGTTGATATAGGGACACCCTACTATACTTAGTGTTGATTTATGGACTTGATCATACTAAGTGTTGATATAGGGACATGATACCATACTTAGCATTGATAAAGGGACATGATACCATACTTAGTGTTGATATAGGTACATGATACCATACTTAGTGTTGATATAGGGACATGATGATACTTAGTGTTGATTTATCGATGTGATCATACTTAGTGTTGATAGAGGGACATGATCATACTTAGTGTTGATTTATGGACTTGATCACACTTCGTGTTCACATACAGACACAAAACCAACTGTAGCAGAAGAATTTATAAGGGAATGTCTGGGTTACTACAGTCACATGATAATAAATTATTCTGAACTGAAATATTCAAGGAAAATGTCCAAATATTGAAACTTAATGTGCACTACTTTGGAACTGTTTCATGAAGGGTAAGAATACACTTTTCTGAATGATTCTCTTTGGAGATAACATGACGGTGCTGAAAACATATGAAGTGAAATGGTAAACACTCTGCCTGTTTACTGTTAACAGTAAACATGTTTACCTTCTGTTACTGATTCAACATCATGCTTAATGTGTGAGTGACAGTGCACAATCCAGCAATTGAACCAAATAAGTGAATGAGTGAGTGAGTGAAATTCAGTGAGGGCAAGAATCAGGGCATGGTCAGAGGAGTGTTATATGAACATATATAGACAACTGGGGGAGGGAGTAACAACAGTTATTTTGTAACAAAGTATCAATAACATCAGTATGGTTGTCATGATAACAAATTACTTTGGCAACTGGGGAAGGCCATGACAGCTTGACAAGCACTACAGGAATATCAGTGCTTATGTTGCACAAATAGGAAGAATATGAAATCTAGAGTTCTGTCCCTTTTCCTCGATATACAAACATTAGCATAACTAATCCCCTAGATTTCATAGAAAAGCCAACATTTCGTACACATATAGAAGTAAAACAATCAAAGTTCCCAATCTTATTAAAATTAGATCTTAGTTCTCGCTACCACTAAACCAAGATCTGAGGACATCTCATTTACGGGTCATGTCAGACCGACCTTTCATAGAGTATGAAAAGACCAATGAAATACTAACAAGAAGTCGACATCAGCCAATCAGAAAGCAGTTTTCTCAGGCTATATGACACTAGTTTCAAACTGGTGACTTCCATTCCAGATTACACTTAAAAGATGTGTTGACAAAGTTATTGAATCAATATTTGAAAACTGAACAAAAGAACATTCTAGAAGGTCTAATAAATGACCTAGATTGTATGGCAGTACTTCCCACAGGCTATGTAAAGTGATTTTGTTCAAATGTTTACCCCATATTGAAGCAAGAGATAGATGATGATTTTGACGGATTCAGTCTACAGCCCGTAACTGTTGTTCAGAATACCCTGTGTTAACCTTTTCTGGGTTGCATAATTAGAAAACACATTCCTACTGTCACTTTCCTGCTCTGGTAAGCGACGCTCTGATTGGCTGGATTAAAGGTCCTTATGGGGTGACCTGTAATAGTAAGTTGTCAAATATTTGTTTAGTGGTAGAGAGAACTCAAGTGTTATTTTAATGGGATTGTAGATCGTGTAGTATGAAGCTGTCGTTTATTCCCTCGTTTATTATTCAATTCCCCTCATCCGACTTTGGCAAAAGAAATATGTCATCCAACCAAGTGAAAATTCTTCCATGAATTGGGAAATTACTCGATTCTGATTGGTCAATTAGAGGCTATTAAATCACAATAAACCCCCTCTGATTGAAACAGCTGCAGAAGCAAATATTCATAGAATAGTACTTTTTTCAGTCATTGTTGGTAGGCATATCTAATAATCATATCTACAATTGCAGGTTACAAAATGCAAAGTTGGGGTGACTACAATATTCAAAGGATGTGTGGCAATACATTTCATGCAGAAAACATGATAGAAATCTTTAAAGAAAGTGTATTTTAATTTTTAGGGACAACAGAGAGCTCAGAATTTGGCACTTCTCTATATACGACTGTGACATCATATCTTTTCTGTCACAATGAGCGATATGATGTCATAATGGTGATGTGCAGTGTAGAATGAAAGCTTGCGAAGTATGCTTAGTTTTCTTTAGGCGTGCCCACCTCATGTGGTGTTTAACCGCGCTAAATTTACCATTTGAAACCTCACGCTACACGTTCGGTTCCAAATTCAATTTAGTGCGGTTAAATCTACAGGTAACCTAGCTCTACATTGAAAACACAGTAAGTTTATCTCCTAAATAATGGCCACATGTCAGCAACAAGTACAAGTCCAAACAAGCAACAAACAGCAATAACGTATTACCCAGAATGCATGATATACGCATTACACATTTACCAAGATTATCCAGGAGTAGTGCCATGATGGCGCCATGGTCCCTGTCCTTGAATGGCAGACTGAATGTAAGTGCTCATCAGGTCACATAACAACAGGATTAGTTGGAGTGAGTGAGTGAGTGAGTATGGTTTTACGCCGCTTTTAGCAATATTCTAGCAATATCACGGCGGGGGACACCAGCAATGGGCTTCACACATTGTACCCATGTCGGGAATGGAACCCGGGTCTTCGGCGTGACGAGCGAACGCTTTAACCACTAGGCTGCCCGACTGCCCCGGATTAGTTAGAGTTGAGACATCGTATGTCAACTCACGTGTGCATGTCAACCATGTTAAAGGACAAATTCACTCTGTTAGTTATCAAACAATTCCTCACTGAAAGCATCCATTTTGTCCGACTCAGTTGATGCAAATACTAGAGAGAACATAATACATAGTAAGGAGATAAGCAATGTAATGAGAAATGAAGACACAATAAAAACATCAGAGGCTTGTGTCACTAAATATGTGTGCATGACTACCTTTATGTACATACATGAACATAGCATAGACAAGGTCAAGGTCTGTTGATAATTAATATTTGTAATAATGTGACCAGAACATTTTCATATGAAATGTCATGGCCAGAGAATATCCAGTCTTGATCATCTACCAAAACAGGCTACATTGGGTGTCAAAGGCAAAATACCATAAAAGTAATAGGAAGTGATGACAACTTGGTCTCTCTGACTACCAGGAAGTGATGTAGGCTCAAAGTTTGTTTGTTTGTTGTTTAACGCTGCACTCAGCAATATTCCAGCTATATGACAGCATTGTGTAAATAATCCAGTCTGAACCTGACAGTCCAGTGATTGATATCATGAGCATCGATCCACATAATTAGGAATGATGACATGCATCCACCAAGTCAGCCTGCCTGAAAACCCAATTGCGCTATTTGACTCTTACGATCTCGCTAGTCGCCTTTTACGGCAAGCATGGGTTGCTGAAGACCTATTCTAACACAGATCTTCATGAGTCAGAGGCTCAAAGAGTCGGTATGGACAAATAATGACAGAGCTCCAGATAAGGTGCGTATCTGCGTAAAATACGCAGCAGAAATGCAGAAAAATGCAGTAAAATAAAATAAAATACGCAACGAACATTACAGATACGCTACAAAAATAAAACTTGTGCGTATCATCAAAATTTTGTGAAGTAACCCTGCGTATTTGATTAGCAAATCAGCAACTTATTTTGAAATCATAAACGGGCATTTCGTCAACCTTGCCAAACTCCACGATGACAGTTACATCATGATCATTTGCCATCACACTTTCAGTGGAAGTATTTTTGAGTCCTATAAAGCTCTCGAACCCACACGACACCAGTTTGCAGGGACTAGATGAATAGTGTTTTTAAATAATTAATTTAAATACCCACATGTGTAAAAACTAGTGGGTAACAGAAATTTGAATACCCAGATAGAATTACTGATGCCCAATGATTTTAAAATGCATGGGTAAAATACCCACAACACCAAAAGCTTATCTGGAGCTCTGTAATGACGAATGTATGATAACCGAAACTAGTGGCAAATGACAAAGAAAGATTTCATAATTGTTGCTACCATCAGCTGTCTCCAGAGTGGCATGAAGCCTACAGAAACTGGTCTCTGATATTGTCACTAAGATACATGTATAGGAGGTTTGACACAGTGGAACCTCCTTAATCCATATGAACAAGGATCTATACACTTCAGCATGATAAAATGACACTGTGACACACTTATGCTACATTGTATATATTCAACAATAAAAAAGCCTCTGGAAGGAGAGGTTTCCATAACATGGTCCAGAGTTATGAAGTTCAGATTAACAAAGTTTACATCCGTGAGGTAGACCTACATTAACATCCTTACAAACTAGTTTAACATTCAAAATGTCGAGGCTTGGCATAAAATACATTGTGACACACAAAAGCTAAACTTTCAACAATAACAAAAGCTTTTGAGTGAGTGAGTTTTATTTTATGTCGCTTTTAGCAATATTTCAGCAATATCATGGCAGGGGACACCAGAAATGGTTTTCACACATTGCACCCATGTAGGGAATCGAACTTGGGTCTTCGGCGTGATGAACGAACGCAACGCTTTAACCACTAGGCTACCTGAGCGCCCCCAGAGGCTTTTGAAGATCCAGGATAACCCGGTTGTTAAATTAATTATGCATGTGACAGACTGATGAAGACCCTACCTTTATCTTTGAGGTTATAGAGGACGGTGCTGAAGGTGGCGCTGGAGGGGTCCTGGAAGGCCACACAGAGCCGGGTCTTGATGGTGGTCATGAAGGAGGGTGTGTGGGCGCAGTAGAAGGACATGAGGGGGGTCAGCGCCTCCTCAGCAAACGGGTACAGTCGCCACACCTTGATCACGTTATCTGCAACACACAAAAACACATCAGCCCTGAACAGTGTGTGAAATAAGCATGAAGGTCGAGGTGACCTTGTAACTCAGTGGTTACAAACTGAAGATTTTGGTGATTCCCTGAGCCCTGAGCAAACTTGGATTGCCCAATCTAAATGAAGGAGATGAGGTGAGGTGAGGTGAGGTGAGGTGAGGTGAGGTGAGGTGAGGTGAGGTGAGGTGAGGTGAGGTGAAATGGGGTTTAACGTCACGTCCAAGATTATTGCACTAATATAGCGACTGCATGTACGTGTGTGTGTTTGTGTGGCTGCTTGAACTAGTCCAGACTGATGCCGATTTATAGTGCTAGCTCACTGAGATACCATGCCGCAGTTTAAGATGAATACCCCACTCAGACACAGTATACTGACTCCGAGCCGACCAGTCCTTGTTTTAGCCCCTTAATGCCGAGCGCCTGACAGGGTAACAACAAGTACCATCTTTTAACGTCTTTTGGTATGACGCGGCCGGGGATCGAACCCCGGACCTTTCGCTCTCCGGGCGGATGCTCTACCACTTGACCACAGAGGCGGTCCTAAATGAAGGATGTGTGAGCCAATCAGATGTCCGTGTTCTAGAATCCTATTTGTATAGGAGAAAACTCGCCTCCAAGGTTTTGGTTAAAAATGTAAACACAAGGGAGAGGGATTTCCTGACTCCCAAGTGTTTATACTTTCAACCAAACTTGGGATGAGGTCTCACTTGGAAAAAAGTAAACACTCCCAAGAGGTTATTATGAGATAGGAATATACCTACAATACAATAGGGAAAAGTGGCAGAAAGTTTATAAGTTACTCTCCTATGCCACCAGTCTGTGTGAAGATTTAACAGCCCCTCGTTCGGAAGTCACATCTGGTGGACTGTCTACTTAAAACCATTCAGCTTCAAAATGTTCCAGGCTTTAAAATTCCTGTTACGTTACCTTACCAGGATATCTATTTTTTGCATCTCCATAATGAAGTTAAACAGGCAGATTTAAATGTAAATAATAAAGGCTGCACTGTAATATTGGGAATATTATATGCACCCTGTGCTTTCCGAGTGCATGGCATTTGCACCCAATATGGAGTAACAACAAGGAATATTGTTTGTGTTTTCTTCAGTAAATATTGAAACTTCTGAATCCAGGTGGTAAAGAAATTAAGCCGAATCATGGGGTGAGATCGAAGATGCCACCTCAGCTTGACCTGTGTACCTACCCATGCCTGCTGATATGACCTGGTCTGCCCTTGAGTTGGCGATCATGTTGAGGACACCCTTGCTGCCATGTGCCTGTCACAGAAACATGTTCCTGTCAATAACTATTGTCATCATGAATTTGGCAATAGCATCCCACTGACTTAGAGTAGGAAAATATTTCCTGTCAGGTTCACATAACCATATTTGATGTATTTACCATCCTGCACGGACACCAAGAATGAGTTATGTGAGGTTTACCTAAATACAAATGTGCAATTCAGGGATTTATCCTGTCCTACTTAAAGACCAATAATCATCCCCAATTCTGCATCAAACGTCAGTAAAAATGGAATTAAACATTTCCCAATTCATACTGTTACAGTTATAACTTATGTTGTGGCTATGTAGAGGTGACTTATATTTCCCAGACAACAGAACCAATACAGAGGAAGAGGATTAAATGCTCAGTTTTACATTATTGCATGGAAGGCAATGTTAAAATTCAATATGAAAACAAATCCAGATTTGTCCCACTTTGCCAGCCAAGGGCACCTAATTTTGAAAAATCCCTGACGATTTTACTGAAAGAACTGTAGAGAGTATTTGACAAAGACTGCTGTGTTGTGTCTGCCTGATGGCGCTCTCCAGGTACAGTGGAACAGAGATCTACCGGTATGATGTGTGGGCAAGAGTCTGTTGCAAGGTGCTAAATACATCAAATGTATCCCCAAAAAACATGGTCTGACATGCTTTTCACTTTCTTAAAATATTTTCTTGATCAATATGCTAATATTCAGGACCAAAATGGAAACTCAAGCAACACTCCGAGTTATATATACTACTCGACTTTTGTTAGGGATATTTGTATATTTCCACGATACACAAAAATAATTCTCATAACATGTAAAGTGTATATATACATATAATAACATATCTGATTATCCCTATCAAAAGTTGAGTAGTATACTATCAAAATAAGCATAACTTCTCTGATACAAATTATTCTGCAACACATGTGACCAACCATGAGATAAGGGACCTTATGGGTGAAAAATCACATTTTGACTTTTCATTATAGTTAAAAACAACTGCATCTTCGGAACACAGAAATACAATTCACAAGCTATTTATTACAGAGATACATGAAATCACACATGGCGATCTTCACTGAAGTAAGTTAGCGTCAAACTTCTTTATGACATCATAGCACATTTGTATCCTAGCACCCATAAGGTTCCTTTTCTCCTGATGAGTCACATATGGTCAAATATTGGCCTGGCCATGACAAATAAGGGAATACATTACAACCAGTCCTTCTTCCAAGACTCTGTAAATATAAAGCAGAAGACATGAGACATCCATGTGTGTAACACAAGACACAAGGCTCACCTCGACCTTGAAGTCCACGGCCCCAGTCTCCCAGTTGAACACGCAGATGTAGCCGTCCCTGCGGCCACCCAGCAGAAGAGTCCGGTTCCGGCTCTGTTTGGCTGGGGCTAGGTTTGCTATGCTACGAGTGGCCACGCCCTTCTTCATGAGCGCCCAGATATCATGTCTAGCCGTGGAGTCCACCACATACTCATACACCAGCAGATAGTTACATACATCTGCAGGCCACCACAAGGAGACTCGTTATTAACATTAACCAAGGGACAAAACGTTTTTAAAGGTTGGCTTACAGATTCAAACCCTTAGAAATTCATATTATAAAAGCGAAAAATTATAAATTTAATTTTCGGTCCCCTTTAATGTAAAATGATTTCGCCACCACACAGGTACATACAATACAGGGTGCCATTTGCAAAGCTATCTTAGCGCTAAGGTGATCGAAACTCCCATACTTTAACATAGGCTTATGATCATCGAAGCGCTAAGGTTCTTTGTACAACGGTACCCAGGTTAATACTGCAAGTCAGATGAAATTTGATTGCTCATGAGAAGACCTTACATCACTAATATTGCAACTTAATGAGATACATTTTCTATGTAACAAAAAACATATCTGAAATGGATTTATTTCTTTGCTTAATATCTACCCACCAGGATTTTTCCAAAAGAATTCATAAGCCAAAAAATAATAACCAGAGACCATATACTGATTGTATACCGATCAGTATATGGTTTCTGTAATAACACTGCGAAATAAGGAGTTTTGGGGTTGGATTTAGGTTCCAGCAGAACGTGATTACTGGAATCCTGCCACATTCCTCCATCTACTCTGTTTCCTGCCATATACACCTTCCCCCATCTACCCTCTGTCCTGCCATATATACCTTCCTCCATCTACCCTGACTGTGTCCTGCCATATATACCTTCCCCCATCTACCCTGTGTCCTGCCATATATACCTTCCTCCATCTACCCTGTGTCCTGCCATATATACCTTCCCCCATCTATCCTCTGTCCTGTCATATATACCTTCCTCCATCTACCCTGTGTCCTGCCATATATACCTTCCTCCGTCTATCCTGTCCTGCCATATACACCTTCCCCCATCTATCCTGTCCTGCCATATATACCTTCCCCCATCTACCCTCTGTCCGGCCATATATACCTTCCCCCATCTATCCTCTGTCCTGTCATATATACCTTTCCCCTTCTACCCTGACTCTGTCCTGCCATATATACCTTCCTCCATCTACCCTGACTGTGTCCTGCCATTTATACCTTCCCCCTTCTACCCTGACTCTGTCCTGCCATATATACCTTCCTCAATCTATCCTGTGTCCTGCCATATATACCTTCCTCAATCTATCCTGTGTCCTGCCATATATACCTTCCTCAATCTACTCTCTGTCCTGCCATATATACCTTCCTCCATCTACCCTGACTGTGTCCTGCCATTTATACCTTCCCCCTTCTACCCTGACTCTGTCCTGCCATATATACCTTCCTCCATCTATCCTCTGTCCTGCCATATATACCTTCCCCCATCTATCCTCTGTCCTGCCATATATACCTTCCTCCATCTATCCTCTGTCCTGCCATATATACCTTCCCCCATCTATCCTCTGTCCTGCCATATATATCTTCCCCCATCTACCCTCTGTCCTGCCATATATACCTTCCCCCATCTACCCTCTGTCCTGCCATATATACCTTCCTCCATCTACCCTGTGCCCGGCCATATATACCTTCCTCCGTCTACCCTGTGTCCGGCCATATATACCTTCCTCCATCTACCCTGTCTCCTGCCACATATGCCTTCCCCCTTCTACCCTGACTCTGTCCTGCCATATATACCTTCCTCCATCTACCCTCTGTCCTGCCATATATACCTTCCCCCATCTACCCTGACTGTCTCCTGCCATATATACCTTCATCATATATGGTCATCCATCCCTACAGTTCTGTAAGAACTTGAGACTTGAATTCACAGTAATAACTCCCATGAAGTGTGACATTTTCCCAGGTAGGTTCAAACTGAAACAACAATTGTTCCATCTTCTTCTAATCCATTGTTCTTTAATAATCCAGTGTGGGGAATAAGAACAGTGAACAAAAAAATTGAAATAAATGGTGAAAAGACGACTATGCCAGTATGGGTACAAGTAATGATGCAACTCTACATATACAAGTACTTCACGGCAAGCAAACACAAACAGCACACTGCATGAGTAGTTATTCACAAAGTTGCAGGGGTATAAGTGACATTTTAAGGGTTGGTGTTTGGGTGTTAACTGTGGACATGGTGAGTGGTGGTGAGTAACAACATGTTATATGACGTCACAGGCACAAAAATACGGCTGTATCATGGCGGTACAAACCTGGATCTGACAAACCAATGGTTGATGCCATGAGCAACAATCTACACATGATGACACAATCAATGAGAATAATTGTTACTTGGCCCATGCTGTCAAGGAAACCCATGGGGTGTTCTCAAGATCATAAATGAGGACAAGTTTTTGTTTTGTTTCTTGTTGACTTTCTAACCTCTACATTGAACACAAAATAGTGCTACCTAGTGTTTAAATTTGAGAATAGACATAAATATTCTGCTTTACGAGACCCATGGAATGCAAAACAGTTTGTCTGTTTGAATCATTTTAACCAACTCAATTTTAGCCCGCATAGGATGCATATAGTATAGTGTATAAAGTAATATGTATATGCCATATACATATACTTTCCATGTCGATTTTATTGGGTTTGCTTCACATGTGTTTATATGTCCTTTATTTGCCATAATAAACACCCTGTGTGCTTAGAAAGTTGACAAAGGGAGAATTTATTAAAACCATATAGAGTGAGCTAAATCAAGTGGTAGTGAACACAATTATTTCAAACATTGATAAAACTAAAACGTTTTGATAACAGTAAAGAAATATGCATTCTACGCTGCTGTTTTCTATTAAATCTGTAATATACACAACTAAATATGGACTGTTAATTTTGGTCATAGTAAGGGTCACTTATTGGTCCAGAAGATGGTTGTGGGCACTTATTACAGCAGAGCGCATAATTATGGCGAATACGGTACTTTATGTTTATTTGCTGTTGATACAGAGGTTACCATATATACCCCAAAACAGCATAACTGACATTCCAGGAAAGGCCCAGGTAAATCCCCATGTATTCTCTAAATGACCAAAATACTTACATCAACCATGTGCTATTGGCATTTCTCTATCTACTGTCTAGTACCACACGAGTCCCCTCATACCACTAGCATCTACTGATTGCACCTCCTCAATAGGGCAGTGAAGGGATCATCTCAACATCTGTCTCAGTTACAAAACTCAAAACAAATCTTTGCATTTGATACAGAAGTGTCATGGCTGCTGGATGATGACAAGCAACAACTAAACAAAACCATCAGGTGGATCGGTCATATATACATGGGTGGCCAGAGTGAGTCACCGGGGAGGGGATGGTCACCTCAAACAACATAACCTAGGGGTTGGGGGTGGGGGTGGGGGTGGGGGTGGGGGTGGGGGTGGGGGTGGGGGTCAGGGATTGCACTGGCAGATCCAGAGGCTGATGCAGGGATGTCTCTTTTTTAGACACTTTACATGTTGCCATACTTGCGTGGCCAGGTCACTTTGTGTGTTGGGTATTATGGGCACCCCCAATTTTTCAAAATCTTGGACTCGCCTCTGGGTAGGGGGTCAGGGTAGGGGGGTCTGGGTTGGGGGTTGGGGCTTGGTGGAGTGTCAAAAAATATTTTGGAAACTTTGAACATTGTGAAAGCAGTTCCATAAAATAAATTTGGGGTAATTCTGAAAACTTTTGAGAATCATTATATTTATTCCTTATACCATATCTCTATTCTATTATAATACCCTGGGATACCCTGAAAAAATTGGACAAAATATATCTTCCATCTGATCCAATACTGATAAATCTAATGAAGCTATATTCAAGTGGATGAAAAATTCTGTTGAAAGTCCTTGATAAAGGACAAGGAGATTGACATCATAATCAAACTGACAATCTAGAATGCATTATTCTGTTAATATATTGAAACAAACAAAGAAAACAAGTTCTCATTATTAAATAATAAGTAGGGAAAATACTAGTGAAAAACTAATAAAGATAGAGAAACATCTCCAAACTGCCATGACTTTGAACCAAATGCAATACAGAGTTTTAGGTGTGAGACGTGAGACGGCCCCTGATTGGCTAGTTCCTATACACGCCTCCAGGCACACATGACTGCCCCCTGGTGTACAGGTATGTGAACATCAACTAGCACGGTGTCTGGACGCCATGAAGTGGTGCAACGTTACTCCCACCGCAAACATCATCAGTTAGTGAACACATCATGGTTATGTTTATATCAACAGTCATGCAACAACACACGTTATTGTTGTTCAACAACACAGTCATCATTAAGACAGGGGTATACTGGCTGATTGAAGTTTTAATTGTTCTGTCATAGTACATGTAAATACTTGTGTATCCAGCAATCCACTGGAAATTACCTTTGAACACATTACTATTTCACCTTAAGAAACATGACTATTTCACCTTTAGAAACATCACTATTTTATCTTTAGAAACATGACTATTTCACCTTTAGAAACATCACTATTTCACCTTTAGAAACATCACTATTTCACCTTTAGAAACATCACTATTTCACATTTAGAAACATCTCTATGTCACCTTTAGAAACATCACTATTTCACATTTAGACACATTACTATTTCATCTTTAGAAACATCACTATTTCACCTTTAGAAACATCACTATTTCACATTTAGAAACATCACTATTTCACATTTAGACACATTACTATTTCACCTTTAGAAACATCACTATTTCACCTTTAGAAACATCACTATTTCACCTTTAGAAACATCACTATTTCACCTTTAGAAACATCACTATTTCATCTTTGGAAACATTACTATTTCACCTTTAGAAACATCACTATTTCACCTTTAGAAACATCACTATTTCACATTTAGAAACATCACTATTTCACATTTAGACACATTACTATTTCACCTTTAGAAACATCACTATTTCACCTTTAGAAACATCACTATTTCTCCTTTAGAAACATCACTATTTCACCTTTAGAAACATTACTATTTCACATTTAGAAACATCACTATTTCACATTTAGAAACATCACTATTTCACCTTTAGAAACATCACTATTTCACCTTTAGAAACATCACTATTTCATCGTTAGAAACATCACTATTTCACCTTTAGAAACATCACTATTTCACCTTAAAAATATATCACTATTTGATTTTTTCATCAGCTTGTTTTTCCATTTGAAGAAAGGGATTGAGCTGATGCTGTAACAGGTCTTACTGTACTATCTATTTTGACATTTTTAACAGCATTCTTGTAAAATTCACTTCAGAGATTTCTATAAAGATCAGCCAGTATACCCATAGATAACAAATGCAACATACATATTTGTGACATATATTCTGGGAACATACAAACCTTTTAAGGGTGGAATGATATGTACATGTTGAATTGAACAGAAAACCTGAGTATGAACTGAACTATCCTAATGCTCACTGCTGGTACTGCGGGTACTAATGATCTATATAACATGTGTACAAGTATTCTTGTTCGGGACACAAATCTATCTCAGTACAGTTGCTGGTTATACACTAGAATATTGGTCCTGGTCAACCACAAATACTTAAACCAAACATTTTGTGTAAAATCAAACAAAATTTGTTGAAAGGCCTGTTGGGTTATCAAGTCGGAGATAATTTAGAAGTAGTTTGTGTGTCAGTGGCAATGTAGGGGTGCATGGACATGTCATTCCACCCTCTGTACAAAGTGATGTTATGTCTGTGTGTGCAGGCAACAGTACTGGGGCAGCGTCACTCATGCCGAGCCTCACCGTTAGCATTTTGACACTTCCATCGGGCCACCAGACTGCATGGGTTCGTGTTGGTGCGGCACTTGATGATGTCGCCATTACCGAGGACAGTGAACAGCATCTCTGTAACAAATGTCAAACCTTGTCAAAGGAAGATTTAGTAACACTTTACTTACTGCTACTGAGAGGGAGGGAGGATGGTGAGTGAGTGAGTGAGTGAGTGAGTGAGTGAGTGAGTGAGTGAGTGAGTGAGTGAGCGAGTCAGGGAGGGTAGAGAGGGAGGGGGAAGAAGGGGGGATGGAAGGAGGGGAGTATGGTTTTATTCTGCTATAAGGCCGAAAAAAGTCTTGGTTCTCAGACACCATCGTATGAACATAAAGTCCATGACATGTCTGATTTTTATTTCCATTTTGAAAATAAATAAATCTGTAAATAGTCTTGAATACGTAACTTTGGCAGTGAAATGCTGCAATACTAAAAATAACATGATATAAATACCACAGTTACTTCCCTTTACATATGCACTGCTTACTACACATCTTGTGTTATGATCATGGCAGTAGAGGGAGTTTGCGTGCTAGTTTTGCCACGGTAAACGGAAATGTGAAATATATGATACAATTTTTAGTGGTTCAATTAAAGCAATACCTAATATCATGACTGAATTTTCTTTTCTGACTAAGGTTCATTTCAAGGCATCAATAGAGTCAATCTGATCATGGTGGCTGTAAATAATGGTGAGTGGGTGTGACCTGATTAGACATACATAACTTCACTGACATTTATATAAACAATATTTTTTGTTTGTTTGTTGTTTAATGCTGCACTAGCAATATTCCAGCCATATGACAGCAGTCTGTATATAATCAAGTCTGGACCAGACAATCCAGTGATTGTCATCATGAGCATCGATACACGCATTTGGGATACGATGACATGCATCAACCAAGTCAGCGAGTCTGACCACCTGATCCCCAAAAATAATAGAAAAGGCCACCCAAACTATTTTTCCAAAAGCCATTGCCTGAGAACCAATTTTTATTTCAGACTTAGCAGTATTCCAGCAATGTGGCAGTGTGGGACTCTGTGTTACAGACTAGTGTAAGTACACTCAAAATCACTATCTAAACAAAGGATTGGTCCAAATTGTCCCTATACAGTTTAATACAATATGACAATGTAAAATAATCATCATATTAAAAGTTGAACATGACAACAAACCTAAAATAGTCAGACAATTGTACTATAACTAGCTTTAAGACAGTGGTCAGTGCAAGCTGTTTGATAAAACATGAATTCCATGAAAAAAACCCACCAGAACAAAAACTAAATGCTGCTATGTTGCTCATAGGCGGATCAAGAGGAAGGCCCAGGGGGTTTGGACTCCCCTTTTGAAAACCAGATATTATATGTTGTATGTTGTAGGCAGTAGTATGTTGTAGGCAGTAGTATGTTGTAGGCAGAAGTATGTTGTAGGCAGAAGTATGTTGTAGGCGGTAGTATGTTGTAGGCAGTAGTATGTTGTAGGCAGTAGTATGTTGTAGGCAGAAGTATGTTGTAGGCGGTAGTATGTTGTAGGCAGTAGTATGTTGTAGGCAGAAGTATGTTGTAGGCAGAAGTATGTTGTAGGCGGTAGTATGTTGTAGGCAGTGGTATGTTGTAGGCAGTGGTATGTTGTAGGCAGTGGTATGTTGTAGGCAGTAGTATGTTGTAGGCAGTAGTATGTAGTAGGCAGTAGTATGTTGTAGGCAGTAGTATGTTGAAGGCAGAGAGGCTTATGATATTTTGGACCTCTCCCTTTTAAAAATACTGGATCCGCCTTGTTGCTATACGTTATTTATAATGGTCACCTTGTTCTATGGCATAGGCAGCATCGATGATGCTCTTCCCAGGATCCATCATCATGGTGGTGAGGACGTTGCCCGATGGTGGCGACACGATACGGATGCTGGAGTCTCGACACATCAGCACAGCTCGCATGACGAAGTTGGGATGTGTGGTCATCTTGATGCTCATCACCCGATGACTGGGAAAAGATGACGCACTTGAAGCATGACAGCAAGATAACTGAGAGAGGGTCAGAGGGTCATGAGTGTAGTGTATAGAGACTGAGGTCCACTTTTTAATTGATCGTAACATGTATTATGACACATGTTCTGATGTTATGAACGCTATAAATGAATGTATTACAGATTTCTTAAACTTATCTTCAACTGAGAAATTTATCACACTATTCAGATGTGAACATGGATGTTATACTCTTCGTAAATCAATTGATGAAATGTTCTAACACGCTTGACAATTATATATTTTTTTATTTTTTTAATATTTTTTAGTCAATTCAGTATATGACATTACAGAGTTATACCGCTTGACAATTATTTAATCCGTTGTGCGCAATTTTACATATATGTTAGTATGCTTGGGAATAGTAGTATTTCTCCTTGTTCCTCCCTCCCTCCCTATCTCCCCCTTGCCTTCTCCCTCCCCCTCTCTTTCTCCCTCCATCTCTCGCTCCCTCCCCCTCTCCCCCCCCCCCCCTCGCTCTCCCTCCATCCCTCCCTGGAACAGGGCACTGGGTTCCACTCTTAGACCTTGGTGCTAAGATTCTTGAAACATTTCTCTTTCCAATTTTGAGCCCATGAGCTAATTGAAAAGCATGAATAACACACAATACAAAATACATGCATTTCGTGGCACTGAAGATGCTTAACAAGTCCAGGTTGTCCCTGTGGGTGTAGGATGTGTGATTTACCCAACAGCCGTGTGCATCTGATACAGGTGTTGAATCCTCCAAAGGTCGACCTTCTTGCCAGCAAATGTATGGAAGATGTCGTACTGCATACTTGTCCCCAGGCCCTCTGCTGGCTCGCTCATTGCAATTCTGGAACACAGGACTCAGGTATAGAGCTGACCAATGGACTGTATTGCCACAACAGCAATGTTTAGGTGACCACGTCATGCTTGACCTGTGTAACCCCATTTTATACCAAGGTTGTCCTCTATAGATCTATTTCTACAGATTCTAGTAAGGGCCTAACAGATTCTAACAAAGGTGAGGTGAGGTGAAATGGGGTTTAACATTGCGTCCAAGATTTTTGCACTTATATAGCGACGTGCATGCACGTGTGGCTGCTTGTACTAGGCCAGACTGCCGATTTTATAGTGCTTGCCCACTGAGATACCATGCCGCAGTTTAACATAAATACCCCACTCAGACACAGTATACTGACTCCAAGCCGACCAGTCTTTGTTTTAGCCAAATAATGCTGAGCGCCAGCCAGAATAACATCTTTTGGTATTACGCGGCTGCGGAGCAAACCCTGGACCTTCCACTCTCCGGGTGGACGCTCTACCGTTTCCACCACACAGGTGGTCTGATACCTCCTACGACTAGCATGGGATGCTCGGGACCTATTCTAACCCAGAATCCCCACAGTACCACCAGCATAGGATACTCAGGACCTATTCTAACCCAGAATCCCCACAGTACCACCAGCATAGGATACTGGGGACCTATTCTAACCCAGAATCACCACAGTACCACCAGCATAGGATACTGGGGACCTATTCTAACCCAGAATCACCACAGTACCACCAGCATAGGATACTGGAGACCTATTGTAATCCAGAATCACCACAGTACCACCAGCATAGGATACTGGGGACCTATTGTAATCCAGAATCACCACAGTACCACCAGCATAGGATACTGGGGACCTATTGTAATCCAGAATCACCACAGTACCACAAGCATAGGATACTGGGGACCTATTCTAATCCAGAATCACCATAGTACCACCAGCATAGGATACTCGGGACCTATTCTAATCCAGAATCACCACAGTATCACCAGCATAGGATACTGGGGACCTATTCTAATCCAGAATCCCCATAGTACCACCAGCATAGGATACTGGGGACCTATTCTAATCCAGAATCACCACAGTACCACCAGCATAGGATACTGGAGACCTATTGTAATCCAGAATCCCCATAGTACCACCAGCATAGGATGCTGGGGATCTATTCTAACCCAGAATCCCCACAGTACCACCAGCATAGGATACTGGAGACCTATTGTAATCCAGAATCACCATAGTACCACCAGCATAGGATACTGGGGACCTATTCTAATCCAGAATCACCACAGTACCACCAGCATAGGATACTGGAGACCTATTGTAATCCAGAATCCCCATAGTACCACCAGCATAGGATGCTGGGGATCTATTCTAACCCAGAATCCCCACAGTACCACCAGCATAGGATACTGGAGACCTATTGTAATCCAGAATCACCATAGTACCACCAGCATAGGATACTGGGGACCTATTGTAATCCAGAATCACCACAGTACCACCAGCATAGGATACTGGGGACCTATTGTAATCCAGAATCCCCACAGTACCACCAGCATGGGATGCTGGGGATCTATTCTAATCCAGAATCCCCACAGGACCACCAGCATAGGATACTGGGGACCTATTCTAACCCAGAATCCCCACAGTACCACCAGCATGGGATGCTGGGGATCTATTCTAATCCAGAATCCCCACAGGACCACCAGCATAGGATACTGGGGACCTATTCTAATCCAGAATCCCCACAGTATCACCAGCATAGGATACTGGGGATCTATTCTAATCCAGAATCACCACAGTACCACCAGCATGGGATGCTGGGGATCTATTCTAACCCAGAATCTCCACAGTACTACCAGCATGGGATACTGGAGACCTTTTCTAATCCAGAATCCCCAGCGGGCTCTATGTCCATCCACCAATACTGTGGTCTGAGCTCCGTGTGTGACGTCACCACGCACCTGTCTACTTCGTCACAGGTCTCCATGTTCCACACCCGGATGGTACAGTCCAGGCTGGCGGAGATGATGGAGGGTCCGTGGGGGTACACGGTAAGTTGGTTCACCAGGCGCCGGTGACCCACAAACACCATCACCACATGCCAGTCATTGTCCCAGATTTTGACTGAAACAAAGTGACATACATAAACTAAATCTGAAGATCATTAATTTCAGGTTTCCTTGTTTTAATAAATTTCAGTGTACTTTTTCGCCATTATGTGCACATTGTCGTCAATCATCATATTTAGAGTAAATTGTTTTGTGTTCTGTGGTCTAATGGTGGGTGATCATTTCTGAATTCTCGGAAAATGTGATACAGTCCTAAGACCTGGGCCCACTTGCACAAAGCGATCTTAGCGCTAAGACTATTGTAAGCCTATGCTGAAGTATGGGAGTTACGATCATCTTAGCACTAAGATCACTTTGTGCAAGTGGGCCCTGGTGAACCTCATATAGACCAATGTACAATGGACGTGATATTCACGTTACTACGTCAAATACAACAAATGGAACTGCTACTAGTAAGATTGAGGGTTGTCACAGAGTAAAGCGTCCAGTTTGGCAGTCCTACTTGAGCCATCCTGTGCTCCGGTGACGAGATATTTGAGAGGATTGAAGAAAGTCATGGCAGTGATGGTCCGTCGGTGGAGTTCCTTGCGATGTGCCAGCATCTTGCCCTCATACAAGTTGTACACCTGAGGAGGGGGGTGAAGAAGACGAGGGATCATTTTATGAGCTCTTCAAATTCTATCAAGACTATCAAGTTATGAGAACAGGGCATTTTAATAACTCATCTATTCAGAGATTGGTTTTTCTTCTTGGTTTTTTGTTCAATGACACATTCAGCAATATTTCAGCACTATGAAGGCAGCCTGTAAATATTGAGGCAGGGTATGACGACCCACTGCCACTGAGCGTCACAACCCAATCCAATAAGTTGCACATACGACTAGCAAAGGTTGCTGGGGAGATATTCCCATCCGGGATCCCCATGGGGGTACTGATAAGAGTAATAAATATTTTCAAATCAGAATACATACAACTTCAAAATTTACCATAAAACAAGTATATATCATATATAAAAAACTTTAAGGAAAAATGATAAATAACCTCCAAAACAAAACAAAATCCCTGAAAAAATAATTCAAACACAACCTAGTTAATTAAAATCTATTAATTATCTTTAAGAGTATATTGTTGGCTGGGTGAATAAATAAATGACAAGCCTTTACTGACCACAACACCGAGGCCACAGGCAAGGAAAGCTCTCTGAGTGTGACTGGCTGTCTCCTCCAAGACGATCATAGAAAACATGTTGTCATCCCCAAAGTCTGTCCTGGTCGTCAATCGGGGGATAAGGTGCCGGGCTCCGTATCGGAATGACCAACTCTGTGAAGGCATGTGCAGGATGCTAATGATGATGATGACATCAACAAGGGTTGCTCTGTCTAGCTATCATTGATGTCAACATCGTTTAATAGATCATTGATTAATATTTATATATCAATGAAGCAATGGCTGTGTTTGACTGTGTGTCTCTTTGTGTGACTATGTATGACTGTGTTTGACTGTGGGTCTCTGTATGTGACTATGTATGACTGCGTCTCCATATGTGACTATGTATGACTGTGTATGACTGTGTCTCTGTATGTGTCTATGTATGGCTGTGTTTGACTGTGGGTCTCTGTATGTGACTATGTATGACTGTGTCTGACTGTGGGTCTCTGTATGTGACTATGTATGACTGTGTTTGACTGTGGGTCTCTGTATGTGACTATGTATGACTGTGTCTCCATTTGTGACTGTATGACTGTGTCTCTGTATGTGACCATGTATGACTGTGTTTGACTGTGGGTCTCTGTATGTGACTATGTATGACTGTATTTGACTGTGGGTCTCTGTATGTGACTATGTATGACTGTGTTTGACTGTGGGTCTCTGTATGTGACTATGTATGACTGTGTCTCCATATGTGACTGTATGACTGTCTCTGTATGTGACCATGTATGACTGTGTTTGACTGTGGGTCTCTGTATGTGACTATGTATGACTGTGTTTGACTGTGGGTCTCTGTATGTGACTATGTATGACTGTGTTTGACTGTGGGTCTCTGTATGTGACTATGTATGACTGTGTTTGACTGTGGGTCTCTGTATGTGACTATGTATGACTGTGTTTGACTGTGGGTCTCTGTATGTGACTATGTATGACTGTGTCTCCATATGTGACTTTGTATGACTGTGTCTCCGTATGTGACTGTGTGCCTCTGTGTGACTGTGTGTCTCTGTATATGACCATGTATGACTGTGTGTCTCCATATGTGACCATGTATGGCAGTGTTATAACTGTGTGTCTCCGTATGTGATGATGTATGACTGTGTTTGACTGTGTGTCTCCGTATTTGACAGTGGCAGATGTATGACTGTGTTTAACTGTGTGTCTCCGTATGACTGTGTTTGACTACCTGACACTGACCTGCAGGAAGCGGGACCCCAGCGTCACCATCTCCCCTGTGTTCTGGTTGTAGGTTCCGAGGAGGATGTTCCCAGGGCATCGTGCCTGGGATATTATCTCAAAGTCCACATCAAGCAGCTGAACAAGAAAAAGATCAATCATTTGCAATCTTGTCATAAAGTATGGGTGAGTAAGTATGGTTTTTCGCCGCTTTTAGCAATATTCCAGCAATATCACGACTGGGAACACCAGAAATGGGCTTCACACATTATACCCATGTCGGGAATTGAACTGGGTCTTCGGCGTGACGAACGAGTGCTTTAACCATTAGGCTACCCGACCGCCCCGTCATTAAGTAGGCCTCAAATAGTCTGGTTGGAGACCCCATCATAATAGGAAGACAAGGGGATAACATCTCGGCTGTCATTTCAACACCTTAATTGAAGACCTTGTCAACAAAATAAAAATGCAGAAATTCTGCAAATAATTCTTTCTCTTTTACATATCATCTGTTCTGTAAATCAACAAAATGTGGGAAACTCAGAGTTAAGTAATAATGCAATGCCAACGTTTCAAAAAGTGTCTGATTCTTTCTTCAGAACAGCTGCCTCCCTCTTGTTTTAATACATCTGTTGTCATTTTTCTTTTACACTTTCTTCCTTCCTTTTGTAACAAAACCTGTAAAAATGAGGAACATGTGATTGATTTGTTCATCCTACTCACATAAAGCATTTCCTCATCTTGCAGCCAGCCCACGTACTGGTCGGTGTGCGTGGAGTAGACCACTCTGTTCATCGGCTCCTCTGGGATAACTGTCGTCTTCTTTCTTCCATCCTCCATAAAAACGTTAAATACTTTCCCATCTGTCGTCAGATATTCCTGTGATTATAAAGATAATCAATTATACTCAAAATACTAAGCACCAGGATGTGACTGATTTATCACATATCAACTTCTATAAACTTGTAGTTTTGACATGAATACATGATTAATGATTTGTTTAGAGCACAGGTAAATACTTTTGCCCCATGGTTGGTCACTATTTTGGTCAGGTGGAGTACATTAATATGCTGATAAAGAACTGAAAAATATACATTATATAGAGGCATAAAACTCATGCTCCGAGAAACTTGTACATTTCAGCATGACAGGACTTAAACAGTAACATTTGATTGCACGAACCGAACAGTTTACAAAATGAAATCGTGCTCGAATATGAATGGCATCATCCCAAGGCAAGGGAGTTAACTGACTATAAAGTCCTGTTTCCACCCTTCCCAACTTGGCTGGAATTATGGAGTTTTTTGGCTGGTCTAACGAGTCAATGCATAATCCAAATCGTGTAAAAAAATCAACATCCTCTTCGTAAACTTCTGGGCCTAATTTTTTCATGGTTTCAATCAAGGTGCTCATGTGATTTGATGCACTTCATGAAGAAAGACCCGTTTTATTACAACATAGATCTTGATTATCTATCAGATCGCCTTCACTGGGCGCCGCCATTTTGTTTGTAGCAAATGCAAGTGATATGGGAGGTGGAATCTGGCATTGGAACTCATCTATCTATTAAATATAAGTATCTGGATATTCATTTATTCACAATATTGTTGTCTTTAAACAAATGATAACCCATATATGAAGTACAATGTATAATTGCAATGGACGATCTTGTATCTGAGAGTTTCTTACTACATGTATGCAGGTTATAAAACCAACAACAAAAGTATCACATTCCTAGAAACTAACTGTGAAGAAAAGTCTACTAACCAAACATTCGCCTGTTGAGACTGAAAATTATTAATTGCAGTAAACACACCACTGAATTATATGAGTGAGGACTAAGTATAGTCAAGGGTGGTTGAATGAAAAATTGATGCATTTATTTTCTTAGGCACTTATGAAACCGAAATCCTTTTACATTCATGAAAATCAAGCAATATCAGACCTTCCTAGGGCTTATAAAGATGACATTCTGTAGAGGTTGTGTGTGGTTTAGCTTCCTCTCATGATGAATTCCATGTGAGATGACAATTTCTCTGATGTCTGCATGAGCAACTGCCTCTACGGTGTGCTTGACAGAATTACGCAACAGTGTCCAGTGATGTTGAGCCTTCCTCCTTTCTTCTGCAGTGCGACGCTGAACAAGAATTTCAAGTGCCGAGACATCTTTGGAATCACTTGGATCATCATTCCCAGCTGTCAGATCATGGGGGTTCATGGTGGTGTTTCTCAGTTTGTGGACTTCCATCGTTACGTCAATGGTTGGAGCTAACTCCAAACCAAAGATAAGTTCTAAAATGAAAAGGACTTTGTTAAAGTTTCAGGACAAAATATACCATTTTGCATGAAATATTAATATTTATTAGCCATATGGTTCAAGCGAGTAAACAATATTTCATGCCAAGTACAAGTATATTAATAAATGATAAATACATACACACTGCAAGAATATTGACAAAGGCCACATTAAGAACCAATTTTTACATTTTCTCAAAATTTTCAAAAATGGGGGACAGTTTATTTTTCAACACTTTAGGATTTTTAAATAAACTGTTCAGAATGACTGAAGAGAATTTTACTAGACTTGGGCTTCAGTGCAGTGGCCCCAGTTGCAAATTGGCTTCATTTATGTGGCCGGATTGAAAAATGACATGATGTTAAAATTAGACATCTAATCAAATTATACTGCTCCTTCATAATACAGAATACCGGATACCTTCTGCCATATTTGTAAGGAAAGTGTACAAGCTCCTTCCTAAGTATTGACGTAATGAACAGTTCCTAAGTATTTGGAAGGAGTAGTTTGTTGAAATGTCACTGGATGGATGTCACTGGCGAGGTTGCTGCACCCTCTTTATGGAACTTCTTTTTACAGTAGAACATGTATAACGAACTACAAGGGACCGGAGAAATCAGTTTGTTATAAACGTTGTTCGTTATATATACGTTTTCGCTTGGAAACGTCCGCCATCTTGGCTAAAACAAAACACAATACACATACACGTTTATACATATTTCGTCCCGCATCTACCGATGATTCAGTTAAAAAGTACCAAATTATACAACTTCAAAAATTTTTAATGCAATGGTCAGAATCTGAAATTATTATTTTATCAGAATGATATATTCCAATATCACTGAAATTATTAATGTAAACATTATGGAATAAAATTTGTTTGTTTTACAGACTAGATTAGTCCAATTACATGGACAGGTAAGATTAACATAATGCAAGTTTAACAAGGTTGAATCGTCACCAGTGATTGTGTTGATTCGCCACGATTGTGTTGAATCGCGTCTGATTGCGTACAGCCAATTGTCAGTGACACTTAACACTGAGTGTGATTCTCAGTTCGCTATACACGTCACTAATTAGTGGTTGATGGGCTTGTCGGGGATCAGATATCAGTTCGCTATATCCATTAGTTCGCTGTAGAGAGTTTGTTATGTACGTAAATTTTATATGATAACATATAGGAGATAAATCAGGGATTTTTTAACAGTTTGTTGTATCCGTTTGTTCGCTCTATTCATGTTTGTTATATCCATGTTCTACTGTAGTTTGATATTCAGTTTGGGGTTAAATAAAATACCATACAAATGCAAGCAGAATATTTATTTCACAGTATCTGTCATAACAGAATGAAGATACAATACACTGGATATCAACGATGTATAGATATATTAATTGTTTGCTAGGCATTACTTAGAAGTTGACAGATGACAAATTTGTGGATAGATATTAATCAGTTATAGAAATTAGCACCAGCCCATTAGCTCAGACACAATTTGTTATCACTTTATGTTAAAGATATTGTAAGGGCAAGTAGAATTTCAAACATTATTTTTTTCTTTGGGGGGGGGTATTGCTGTATGTTATCACTATTTGGCTAGTAAACGGTCCTGATTGAGATCTATCCATGTAAAGACTTAGAAAAACATAGATATCTTTACAAAAGAAGGCCTTCCTTGAAAAAATGTGTCAATAACAAATCATAACTTTATGCTAGACATCATCTACTGTGAACTGATCTCATTCTCACTTCACTTCAGCAACACAACTTGCAGGCTTATGTATAGATCTAAGTAAATATTTCAATTGCTTTATTCAAATGACTAAACTTTCTGGTTTGATGATTAGGTTACACATAACTAGAAGTAAGGGTAAATGACTGAAATAACATAGCTGAGCAGGAATCACCTAATTAATTTTAATGTTGACATTTGACATGGTGACAATTTGGCCAACAGGGGCTATGTCATGGACGATTAAGAACATCTACATCTTTAGGCAGTTTGGCAATCTCACGAATGACACAATAACAAACCATATCATACAGGAAAATAAATATGGAAAGAAATCCCTACGAAGATGCACCTTTACACAGTCATTATTCCAATCGTGTTCCGCTGGTTTGATTATTTACACCATCCGCCATGTTGTTATCTCCATGGATTCAACTCACGCGAGATTAAAGGGAGCTAACTCTTCTATTTCTAAGTACACATGACCAGTATAATACACCTCTCGCATTAGAGCATGGATCGATTCCCCACCATAGACACCACCCTGCAGGGTTGTTCACAGTTATTTTTTTTGTATTTTTTTAGTTTAATTATTTGTAAGGAAATACTAGCTTTAATTAGTTAACATTAAAACTTTTTCAGAAAATTTGATTGCTGACCTACTTTTCAATTGACAAAGTAGAGACAATTTATGGACAACATCTTGTTTATTATCTGTACTGCATATTTACTCTATATATGGTAAACATAGAAGGTTAATCCATAAATTGTTTCTACTTTGTCATTCGCAACTCCTAAGTAATGCCTATCAAACAATTTATATTTCAATTGATGTATTAATTTTTAACAGAATATTACCTCCTTAATACCTAAGGAAATAAAACGTCTACAGTACGCAATACATTAATGCTTGTCAATTTTTAGCGTCTCTGTGAGGTCAGAAGACATGCGATTTAACTCTAACTCTATTTCATGTTTCATAGCTGATTTTAGATAGGCAGTAAATGTTCTAATACAAACCTGTGTAGTTCAGCATAATTTTCAATCAAGCGACAGTTGTTTCCCATATCCCATACTGAAGTTTTCTGAGCACCTTTAGAATTTAGTACCACAACTTCTCGTGAGGACGATCAATCCCATAGAACTCATAGCGACATAGCTCGCCTGTACGTGTGTGTGTGTGTGTGTGTGTATGTGTGTGTGTGTGCGTGCGTGCGTGCGTGCGTGCGTGCGTGCGTGCGTGCGTGTGTGTGTGTGTGTGTGTGTGTGTGTGTGGCTTCTCGTACTAATCCGGACTGACACCGGTTCTGTAGTGCTAGCTCACTGAGATACCATGCCGCAGTTTAGCATGGATATCCCACTCGGACACAGTATTACTCCCAGCTGACCAGTCCTTGTTTTAGCCCCTTAATGTCGAGGCAGGGAAACAAAAAGTACCATCTTTTAACGTCTCTTGCAATGACGCGACCGTGGATCGTACTGAAGACTTCCGCTCTTCGGCCGGACGCGATATCCACAACACCACGAAGGCGATCCTGTATATCTATGTTACGTGTTTTATTTTACCTAAAAGATTCATCAAAGATACAGCAACCTCGCGGTTCCATCAAGTCGTGTTTCAATTTTCATTTACAAAGAAATACTTTTTTATGTGAATAAAACACGTAACCCTGGGGAAATGAGAAGTTATTCATAAACATATGCTTATGATTTCATCAGAATCGTAGAATGGACTCTGCTTTTAGCCACGGGGAAATGTAACACCAAAATTAGCAACAAGATATATGGTCACTACACGATCCTTTTCTAAAGTAACAGGGGGCGCGGGTGGCCCAGCCGTCTAATCGCTGTGCTTAGTTGCGTCCCTTGGGCATGCCAGAAACCTATGATTGTGGGTTCGAATCCCGGTTTGCACCGATTATGTTTCTAGGTTCGTCAGCACCATACCCGTGCTCGAGGGTTTCACCAAAGTGGTAAACGTCTAAGACCTGCATCACCTCGGGCTTTCCTCCCACATTAAGCTGACACGCCGGAATATAACTGGAATACTGTTAAAAGCGGCGTTAAACCCAACTCACTCACTCACTCTAAAGTAACATGTTACCGGCTATGACTATATACGCATTTGTTGCTAATACTTGTGTTACAAGCCCTGCGATATTGTTGACTTGTTTGATTGCGTGTCATCTTACGTCGTACGTGGATGATCACTCGATTGTTAGGTCCAGACTCGATTATCTATAAACCGCCGTAATACAGCTGGACTATTGCTGAGTGCAGAGTTAAACAATCTAACACACAACAGTGGAATCAATACGAAGGTCAAATTATAGGAGACGTTTAAATGAATTGGTAAGTTGCATGTGTTTCAAATCCATTTATCTTGTTTGTTCTGAAAGTATCGGTTAGTGGGTGGGTGACTTGGTGAGAAAGTGGGTTCGGGGGTAGTGGGAGAGTTAAAGGGGTAGGGCGCGTTGAGAGTGAGGGGGGCATGAAAAAATGAAAACGAAAGGGGGCGGGCGCAAAATTTCATATCACAGCTGGGGGTGGGGAGTAGAATAGCGGTGGTGGGGTGGTGGTTTTGGTGGTGATAATTGAATTTTCTTTTTTACATTACCAGTCCAGAGTATTGATTTTAACGCCGCTGTACACAGTATTTCAGTATCACGGAGTGTGAGGAATGTGACGCAGGTCGAAACCATTTGCCATTTGGTCATATCCTCGAACTGAAAAATGGCGCTGACAAACAAAGAGTGATGATGATATGCGAGGGCCGAACCTACGATCGGCATGTTATAAAGGTATGTTATAAAGGGTTTGTTATAAACATATAGATAACAACAACAGACCACCTAAGGTTGATATTTCGACTTTATTACAAACAGGCTCACACACTGGTCCCCACACCGCATAAACATTCGTCAGGAAGGAGCTCTCATGTTTCTGAAAATGATATGAATATGTTAGAGACCCTACACATGACACGAAAATAATAAAAGTAATCTATTCGAATTATTGAAATACACACGTACGTTAAAAAATTGTGCCGACGTTGCAAGGACATATACATATGATTTGATATGATGAAGCTTATAAGTGTAGAATTTATGAAACATCACCAAATAATTTGAGAAAAATGCAGTGGAATTGAAGATCCCAATTTAATGAAGAAAGTTTTTCATTTCTGTTAGGTGAAAGTAATATAGCAAACCGAATGAAGTTCAAACGGCCCCTATCGCAAATCTGCCCCCTTTTAGGGAGGTATGCTCAAGGTAAATGAAAATTCAAAAACGTGAACACCAGAAAACATATCCTTTAAAAAGACTTTGCCTACCTCTGTTGAGGTACCGGCTACAAAACTCCCTAAGTCTCTGGTCAATCTGGTAGTATCGCCCGATGAGGAAAGTGTCCATTGGCACCTTCTCCATCTCAGCGGCAAGGTCATCATTCAGATGATCCAGCACCTGTTGGCAGCATGAACTGTTGGCTGGAAAATAATTAGGAAAATATTCAATAATATCTGAAAGTAGGAACTATTGTACGTTCAGAGCCTTGAGAACTGACGTGGCATCTGCAAAAGGACTTGTCAACGTATATAAGATGACACCTAAAGTTATCCATTGATATAAGGTAAGAACAGATTCACACTCACTAATTCCAAGATATCCACCAAGACCACCACCGAAGGCGCCGCCTGTCTGACTGTAGACGACCGTCAAGACGGCGGAGAGTAGGACTGCGGCGACGACGAGGAGGTGCATGTTGTTGACGTTGAGGACTGACGTTGTGTCAGACGCTGACTTTATAGGGTTATATACTCATCAAAGGGAGGTACATTATTGACATATGTCACATAGTAGGTCACGTGGTTGTCAATTAAATTTGTTACGGAGTATTGCAGCATCTGTTATAGCATGTGTGACACGTGCCTAAGATTTACAAGATTAGTAATTTAGAGGACTAATTGACATGCTAAGGTTAGTTATTGTTAATTTGAATATTCGCATGGTTCGTGTTATACGGGGCTATTCAATTTGATAATGGAAGGGAGCATCCATTTGATTTGTATGTGGGGATGGGCTTGGCTGGAGAAAAACGAATTCTCCAACTGCATTCAATAAACTATTTATTAACTGAGTCACCATCAAACGAATCATTTTCTCTTTCTGGGGCTTTCCACACTACTACTAATAAGCTTTTAATTTAGGAAATATTTCTGAACAAACTATCCATTTCCGTTTATAGAAATGGAACTATTGCGAATTAAAATGGTTATTGGAACACTCAGTTTACTACTTCATGCTCATGTAGCGAGCGGTAATCATGAAATATTTCCACAATATGGCACATACCTGTTAAGTAATTAACTGATTATATTCTTACACATTGCAGGTGTGAAACTTGATTATATCGTTGCAATGTCACACCGCTGTTTAACTGATAAGTTAAACCACCCTGTATGCGTTTTATTCAAAGCACGGTCTCAGTGTCCCAACTGTCACACGACTCGATTAACTTGATTCTTTAGAAGTAGCCTAACGCAATTCATTTTCCCATCTTGATATCTTAGACACGTTTTTATATGAACCAAGTTGATTTGTCTGCTGGAGAGCTCTTTGACCTTCAGACATATCTCTAACCTGGTAGCATTTACTAAATATGTTGAACAGACTAAAGAGAAACTACATACGGGCAATTAGCTTAAATAATCTTAAAATAAGGAAGGAATCTCACACTGACAAACCTGGACAGGGGATTTAATGTGCACAGATATTTTATTTATCGCTTTCTACTCACAGTTCCTGCTCAAAACGTCATTTGAGACAAACGAAGCGTTTTCAGGTAAGGCTTTTATTTACGTAGGTTACATTAATTAAAATAACACAGAACATAAATCCAGCGCATAATTTTTTAGGAAAGAGTATGGGCACTCGCATTTTGAAAATGCGCATTTATGTCTAAAATCAAGAGCTCGCATTATTTTCATGAATTCCCGCTTTACAGTATTTGGTCCAAGACAGTGAAACTATCCCTCTCCCTCCCCAGGATCCCAGGTTGCAAATACCGGGTGTCATCACTGATTTTCAGGGATCCATTTACATCATTTGAACGACTAATTCGCTTTTCACGCCAAATGGAATCTGTTTCGTCGGATAATCGAGCCTGGTTATTCTCTGGCTGTTTGATTGGCATTCTAGAAGTTGGCAAATAAGTAAGAAAAACGTACAACTTTATTGATAACTATTTCTGGTTTATTGCTTAGAGCGACGTTTCATGTTAATTCTTATACCGTTATCAAGCTGGAGTGACAACAACCAAGTGATGAGAGGTATACATGCATGATATGTTTTTATAAGCAGCAGATTAACAATGACAACAACAGGTAATAAATAACAAGCAGATAATTGGATGAAGCCAAACGTACAGTAAGAATTACAAATAGCACACGGGTAATGAAGCACACGGGTAATGAAGCACACGGGTAATGAAGCACACGGGTTGTGAAGCCAGACATACAGTGAGGATGAGGGTTAAAGGGTTTGTACTGTTGTGAAAAGCTGATTAACATTGTCTATTGCTTAATTAGATCTTCATAGGCAGACATCAAGGGTTTTATATCTTACGTTAGGCTCTTATTCCCTTTTTCATTTTTTATTAGGCCCCTATATCCAACTGCAGCTTAACTGCAAGCACATTTCCTCCCCATTATGCTATACGTCTTCTTTATAAAATAAAACAGTGTATATTAATCATAATAGGTTAGTTGTAGGTTATCTTATTTACCTTTTAGGCCACTTCACTCTTTTGAAATAAACATATCTCCTTTTTAAGTATATACTTAATTTTTTTTCATAGATATAAATACACTAGTTGTATATATTACAGGGATAGGCTACAGTCAGATCTAATAGTCTTTGTCAGAAAGATTTCTGACAATGACCATCATATTAGTTTCTGACAGTGATCTTCGTATTGCTTTCTGAATATGACTCTTGAAAATGCTTTCTGGCAATGATCTTCATATTGCTTTCTGACAAAGACTATTCATATTGCTTTCTGGCAATGACCTTCATATTGCTTTCTGACAATGACTCTTGAAAATGCTTTCTCAAAATGATCTTCATATTGCTTGTTCATATTGATTTCTGACAGTGACTATTCCCACCTCTTTCTGACAATGGTAGGTGATATTGGTTTCTAACAACGAATATCGCAATCGTCTTGTTCCACGGGATAACACGAAATATTGATAGATTTAAAGTATATAGCCAAAACTTTAATCAAAAGGAAACCGAATATAGACCACCGAAAAGTTCCAATATATCCACATCAGGGTCCTTCTCTATAACGGGAGGGCGGCGGGGGTCTAATGGTTAGTGTAATGGTTAAAGCGTTCGCTCGTCACGCCAAAGACCATGGTTGGATTCCTCTCCGTGATATTGTTGGAATATTTCTAAAATCGGCGTAGATCCATACTAACTCACTCAGTTATAACGGGGCAATTTTATAAAATCAATTTCCTATGAGGTAAATTAAACACAAATATGTTTCATCTTAAACATGCTAATTACTTTCGACGACGAACTGACTTGTTATTCCTCAGTCACCACCAGCTGTCCTATCATGTGTTGACAACCGGGCGGTGACCCGTATCATCCTTGAACGTTGAGCACGCGTACGTGCTGCTGCAATCACACAAGTGTTTACCTGTACACAAATACTTGTTTGTTTACATATTGGTGTGTAGTTTCAAGTACCAACTGGGGCGGTCGGGTAGCCTAGTGGTTAAAGCGTTCGCTCGTCACGCCGAAGACCCGGGTTCGATTCCCGACATGGGTACAATGTGTGAAGCCCATTTCTGGTGTCCCCCGCCGTGATATTGCTGGAATATTGCTAAAAGCGGCGTAAAACCATACTCACTCACTCACTCACTCAAGTACCAACTTCGTTCAGTGGCATTTAGAAGTTGGTGTGATGAAGAAAGACTTTCTTCAAGTACCAAAGCCAAATTAAACAACAAAGACAACTCAATTCAACTGAAAGACGATATGTTGTAGGAAAAAAGAGTCTGATAAGAAATTTAATAGTCTGTATAATTTATATTATTTTGGTCGATGTTTCTGCTGGTGGACCTAAGTCCCCGAGTTTCACCATAAACCCACTAAGCTCACACAATTGGCAAGACCCCTCCAAAACACTTCAAAACGTATAGTTATTCATTGTATGAAACGTTATTTGGTTTAGAAATGTATCTAAATATAATTAATATGTCTAATTTTAGAACTGTCTTGCAAAACTAAGATGCAGTTCCCATCAGTTAAGATTTGAAACTTGGCGATAGTGCAAACAACCAAGATGTGAGGGAGTATGTTCTCTGTGAAACTGATTGTATATTGTACATGAGTACCGTTTCATCCTTGTTTGTGATATGTATCAATCCACCAGGAACTGTTTTATGCCATCAATATCCTTTGTCAGTCCTTCCTTAAATAGATTGAATATGTCCAATGTAATAATATTTTAAAGAATCTTGCAATGTATTATATGAGTCGACAGAACTAAGAGGAGCTGAACAAAAGACAACACTCTCTATTGTAACACTATGTGTTATGGGGGGGGGGGGGGGGGGGGGGGGGGCACGGGTGGCTCAGTCGTCTAAGGCGCCGCGATTCGCTGTGCAGAGTTGCGTCCCTTGGGCACGCCAGAAACCTATGATTGTGGGTTCGAATCCCGGTTCGCCCCGATTATGTTTCTAGGTTTGTCAGCACCATACCCGTGCTCGTGGGTTTCACCGAAGTGGTTAACGTCTGAGACCTGCATCACTTCAGGCTTTCCTCACACATTAAGCTGACACGCCGTGATATAACTGGAATATTGTTAAAAGCGGCGTTTAACCCCACTCAAACCACTATGTGTTAGCGGCCTCTGGCCTACACACCTTTGTGAATTCAGCCGATTGAATAAACTACAAAAGAAATGTTTCGATAGGGACATAAAAACTGCCCACAGCGGTTTTGCAAAACGAACATATTTCTTAAAACGGTATTCTTTGCTTTTTTTTGCAGCAGAATATCTGCACGTGTACACAGCAAACATAATTAAAAAATAGCAAATTGTTTTTTAGTGTCAATAAAAACAGTAAATGTGCTTTTGTGTCTCTGGTCCATCACTTGATTATCTGGTTCGTTTACGGGTTGTCGTCGCATGGCAAAAGTACTGGCAACAAACAAACACTTCCCTTTTTTATCCTAATTGTTAGTGGCGGGTTTTACCGGTAGGGCAGGACATGCTTTCCCTTTTCGCGAACACCTGGTGTCCTTACTGATTTTCCGTGATGCTTTCATGTAATTTCAGGGGCGGTCGGGTAGCCTAGTGGTTAAAGCGTTCGCTCGTCACGCCGAAGACCCGGGTTCGATTCCCGACATGGGTACAATGTGTGAAGCCCATTTCTGGTGTCCCCCGCCGTGATATTGCTGGAATATTGCTAAAAGCAGCGTAAAACCATACTCACTCACTCACTCATGTAATTACACCGCCCAATGGAATCTGTATCGGTGGATAATCGACACTGGTTATTGTCTTGCGTTGACGTTGTATATTATATTGGATTGAACGCAAATCTAGCTCATATTCAAAGGTCCCTTTAAAGTGGCAAACGTACATTGAAAACCTGAACGTGATTCGAAAATGGATAGTTTTCATTGATAATTATCGATACATTGTGACATAAACATCTACCACCAATAAACGTGAATTCGCAAATGGATCGTTTTCATTGATGCTAATCGATACACCGTGATATAAACATCTTCCACCATTAAACTTATATAGATATATACTCCAGGACAAACAATCAAGGAATAGAAAATCACTCCCGTGTTCTTGAGAAAACTATATGTGTAATGCTGGACGTATTGATAACATCACTGTGAGAGTTTAGGACAGACATTCAGGTGTCCCAAGGGGCACCAATAGTGACCCACTCCTTACTGGTTTGTTTCGTTATGAATATGAATCGGAATTTCTGCTTGGATTGGCAAATCAAAACAAAGGAATTTGGCCAAGCGGTTTGATCTGATATCGTTCAATAACGGTCAAATAGCCATTTCTCGTCCACAGATATACACATTTGAAGTATAAATACAAGAAACCAGTGAAACCGCTCCATTTGTTTCATGTTAGGGGGGCGGTCGGGTAGCCTAGTGGTTAAAGCGTTCGCTCGTCACGCCGAAGACCCAGGTTTGATTCCCCACATGCATACAATGTGTGAAGCCCATTTCTGGTGTCCCCCGCCGTGATATTTCTGGAATATTGCTAAAAACGGCATAAAACCATACTCGCTCTCTCATGTTTAGATCTACGCATACAGATTCAGAGTGACAAATAACTCTCCATAAGATTGTATGTCAAGGGGACAGCCAACTTCTACTCTTCGAGCAATACTCAAGCTTCAAAAGTCTTCATTTCACAACTGGTGATGTACAACCGAGCATGCTCTTTCTTCGAAACTTTCAAAGAGCGTCACACGACTCATGCTCAAAAATGGTTTGATCAAGGTTGCAACAATCAAGGTCTCAGTAAGGCTTTCAAAACGTTTTATGGTAGAAATGTGGGGGACTTTTTCAAATTTGACTCATCAGTGACAACTGATGACAGATGCAATTCCTATTTTCACATGTATGTATGTATGTATGTTCCTATGTTATTTCAGATGGACAATTGACTTGCCCTTGCATGTGTTTGTGACGGGTGCCACCGCTGGGGCAGGATACGCTGGTATCATCACTATTTGATGGTGATTCATGAACACATGATCATGATATAGTCTGAAAGAATGGACTCTTTTGATAGAGATTTAATATGATATTAAAGGGTTTTTATTGCGTTTTAATACTTTTGATTAATTAATATGTTTATGGAAAGGATTTTGTCGCTTTTCTTTTTTTAATTGACAGCTCTATCCCTCTCTTCTACCTTTTATGCATTTGAATTCTACAACTCGCTTTCTTAAATTCATTATGGATATAAATTTCGTATAGTTTACTATATATATCAGGTTCTTTTAAGAACCTTTTCCCCGAGGGTATTCCGAGGGTAGGTCCCTAGTAACCTATGCTTGTAGTACGAGGCAACTAAAAACGATCTGTTGATCTCTCCTGCTGCCTTCCCGACTCGCTGAACGTTGTAATCATACCAAACACTGGTCTGTGTAGTCCAAACTCGAGTATGTAAAGTTTACAGTGACACAGCAGGACTATTACTGACTGCGGCGTAAAACAACACACTGAAACACAAACTGACGTTGATCTTGATACTTTATTGCAACAGGTAGATACATTGCCCCACGTAGCAGATAACATAGACGTCAGGTGACGCCTAGCAGCTCCTCATTTGGTCTCTGAAATGAAAAGATTATATTTAGTCAATACAGCATAGAGAGTACAAATGTGAACCGGAAACATTAACCCAGCAATAAAATAGTAACTACAGATGATTGCTTAACTTTGAAGACATCATTTTGATCCTCAATCTCCTTTGGGCAATGTCAATAGTTATGTCATGACGTGCCAAACTCACTATGACCTAGGGGGCGGTCGGGTAGCCTAGTGGTTAAAGCGTTCGCTCGTCACGCCGAAGACCCGGGTTCGATTCCCGACATGGGTACAATGTGTGAAGCCCATTTCTGGTGTCCCCCGCCGCGATATTGCTGGAATATTGCTAAAAGTGGCGTAAAACCATACTCACTCACAAACTCACTATGACCTAGCTTAAACTGCCGAGCACGTGTCGTGGTTGTATGCGTCGTCTTTGCAAGGACAGTGATAAGAAAGAATCTTCATTCCTCTCTCTGATCTGTGTACATGATGTAGTTCATGGTTCTGAAGGTAGATGGGAGTCTGTACTTACAGCTTTCAATTTCCCATATTGCTACAAATGTGTGCCGCCCTTTATGGTTTTCAGTGTATCATGGTTATTCCTGTAAGCATCATTAACACATGGTCACTGAATGAATCAGCTGATGTACTGACCTCATCATCAGTTGCACACCGACCAATATGTTATTTTCAGGTAGCACCCCACGAATTGGTCTGCAGGAAGCAGTTCATCTGACAGTACCTGTCCTCGTAGCTTTTGACGAAGTGGTAAACTGTCTAAGATCTGTATAATTTTAGGTTTTCTCCTGTACAACGCCCCTTGTGCGTGTTAGAATCCCAGATTCCCAGACACCCTACTCTTGCTTGTGTGTTTCTCCACAGTGGTGAACGTCTGAGACCTGCAACACTTCGGGCTTTCCTCGCACATCAAACCGGCATGTTATCATATAACTGAAGACCGCCTCTGTGGTCTAGTGGTAGAGCGTCCGCCCGGAGAGCTGAAGGTTCGAGGTTCGATCCCCGGCCGCATCATACCAAAAGACGTTAAAAGATGGTACTTGTTGTTACCCTGTCTGGCGCTAGGCATTAAGGGGCTAAAACAAGCACTGGTCGGACTAGTACAAGCAGCAACACACACACACACACACACACACACACACACACACACACAAACACACACACACAAACACACACACACACACACACACACACACACACACACACACACACACACACACACACACACACACACAAACACACACACACACACACACACACACACACACACACACACACACAGGCACGCACGCACGCATGCATGCACGCACGCACGCGCGGCCCTAAACCCAAATCTGATCCCTTCAGTGGTAGATATACATATATAATTCAAACCCTCAACACCATGCTTTAAAAAGACTTTGCCTACCTCTGTTGAGGTACCGGCTAAAAAACTCCCTATGTCTCTGGTGAATCTGGTAGTATCGCCAGATGAAGCTTATAAGTGTAGAATTTATAATTTGGTTGAAACATCACCAAATAATTTGAGAACAATGCAGTGGAATTGAACATCCCAACTTAATGAAGAAAGTTTTTCATTTCTTTTAGGTGAAAGTAATATGGCTAACCGAATGAAGTTCAAACGGCCCCTAACGCAAATCTGCCCCCTTTTTGGTAGGTATGCTCAAGGTAAATGAAAATTCAAAAACGTGAACACCAGAAAACATATCCTTTAAAAAGACTTTGCCTACCTCTGTTGAGGAACCGGCTGCAAAACTCTCTAAGTCTCTGGTCAATCTGGTAGTATCGCCCGATGAGGAAAGTGTCCATTGGCACCTTTTCCAGCTCAGCGGCAAGGTCATCATTGAGATGATCCAGCACCTGTTGGCAGCATGAAGTGTTGGCTGGAAAATAATTAGGAAAATATTCAATAATATCTGAAAGTAGGAACTATTGTACGTTCAGAGCCTTGAGAACTGACGTGACAAGGATTTGTCAACGTATATAAGATGACACGTAAAGTTACAGGTAAGAACAGATTCACACTCACTAATTCCAAGATATCCACCAAGACCACCACCGAAGGCGCCGCCTGTCTGACTGTAGACGACCGTCAAGACGGCGGAGAGTAGGACTGCGGCGACGACGAGGAGGTGCATGTTGTTGACGTTGAGGAGGACTGACGTTGTAGTTGGACGCTGACCTTATAGGGTTATATACTCATCAATGGGAACCACATAATTGACATGTGTCACACAGTAGGTATGGATTTCAATTATCAACATATGTTAAGGTGTGTAACACGTGCTTTAGATTTTCCAAATTGACATGCTAAGGTTGGTTATTCTTAATTTGAATAATCGCATGGTTCGTGCTATACGGGGTGATTCAATTTGACTATGCAAAGGAGCACCCATTTGATTTGTTCCCATGCTATATTCAACAAGCTATTTTCCGAGCTGCATCAGACGAAGTTATTCATTTTCACTATCAACATAACATTTTCGACGTTGTGGTACTTCCCACATTTTCTGTTTACCATGGCCAAGAAACTATTCATTTGAGAAATGTTTCTGAACAAATTGTCCATTAAAAATTAAAACATGGTGTGTTGAACACATAGTTTACTACTTCATGATCATATATCGAGCGATAATCATGACATATTGCCAAAGAATGGTACATATCTGTTAGGTAATTAAGTTACTGATGTCCTTCTTACACATCACAGGCGTGAAACTTTTTATTGATAAACTGTCACACCACTGTTAAACTTATAACGTAAATCACCTTGTATATGTCTCATTCAAAGAACAGACTTAGTGTCTCAAATGGCACACGACTTTTATCTTGATTCTTTAGAGATAGATTCATCGCAATTTGCGGATAATCGAGACTGTATAATTCTCTGGAACTGACGTTTTACATTTACAGTGTCCATTCATATTGATTATAACTGTTTGTCTTCTTACACTTGCTATTCATATTACTTAATTAAACTAACTATTCATATTGCTTAGTGACAATGACCTTCATATTGCTTTCTGACAATGACCTACATACATGTGTATTGCTTTCTGACAATGACCTTCATATTGCTTTCTGACAATAACCTACATATTGCTCCCTGACAATGACCTTCATATTACTTTCTGAACAAGATCTTCACATTGCGTTCTAGCAATGAACTTTATGTTGCTTTCTTACAATGACTTTGACGAAACGTTGATAGATATAAGTTAATACAATGTCCCAGATGAAGTTTCGACAGGAAACTGATTAGTTTTAAGTGGTGTGAAGTATCAAGTACACCCACCATATTGCTTTCTAATAAAAACATTCATAGTGCTTTCTGACAATGAACTTCATATTCCTTTCTGACAAGATCTTCATATTACTTTCTGACAATGACCTACATATTGCTTTCTGACAATGACCTTCATATTACTTTCTGACCATTACCTTCATATTGCTTTCTGACAAAGACTCTTTATATTGCTTTCTGACAATGACCTTCATATTACTTTCTGACAATGACCTTCATATTGCTTTCTGACAAAGACTCTTCATATTGCTTTCTGACAATGACCTTCATATTGCTTTCTGACAATGACTCTCATATTGCTTTCTGACAATGACCTTCATAATGCTTTCTGACAATGACCCTCATATTGCTTTCTGACAATGACCTTCATATTGGTTTCTGACAATGACCTTCATATTGCTTTCTGACAATGACCCTCATATTGCTTTCTGACAATGACCTTCATATTGGTTTCTGACAATGACCTTCATATTGCTTTCTGACAATGACCCTCATATTGCTTTCTGACAATGACCTACATATTGCTTTCTGACAATGACCTTCATATTACTTTCTGACCATTACCTTCATATTGCTTTCTGACAAAGACTCTTTATATTGCTTTCTGACAATGACCTTCATATTACTTTCTGACAATGACCTTCATATTGCTTTCTGACAAAGACTCTTCATATTGCTTTCTGACAATGACCTTCATATTGCTTTCTGACAATGGCCTACATATTGGTTTCTGACAATGACCTTCATAATGCTTTCTGACAATGACCCTCATATTGCTTTCTGACAATGACCTTCATATTGGTTTCTGACAATGACCTTCATATTGCTTTCTGACAATGACCCTCATATTGCTTTCTGACAATGACCTTCATATTGGTTTCTGACAATGACCTTCATAATGCTTTCTGACAATGACCCTCATATTGCTTTCTGACAATGACCTTCATACTTCTTTCTGACAATGACCTTCATATTGCTTTCTGACAATGGCCTACATATTGGTTTCTGACAATGACCTTCATATTGCTTTCTGACAATGGCCTACATATTGGTTTCTGACAATGACCTTCATACTTCTTTCTGACAAAGACTCTTCATATTGCTTTCTGACAACGACCTACATATTGCTTTCTGACAATGACCTTCATATTGCTTCTTGACAATCACCTTGATTTTACTTTCTGAACATGACTCTTTAAAATGAATTCCTTACACTCAGTGGAATCTGGTCAGGCAGATAATCGAGAGACTGCTTCTTCTCTGGCGTTGTCATCGTACCTTTACAATGTCCATTCATATTGATTTCTTACATTTACTGTTGTATTGCGTTATTATCAAAATAACTATTCATATTGCTTTATGACAATAACCTTCATATTACTTTCTGAACATGACATTCATATTGCGTTCTAGCAATGACCTTGAAACTGTCGATATGAGAGGTGTACTGAAAAGCAGGGAGATTATGTTGAAAAATAATATTAAAACACTTTCACATTTGTTGGTTTTGTTTATTAGGCTTAGAACCTTTTGACCAGCCCTCGTATCGATTATCTGATATAAATTAATAACAGTGAAATAGCCAAATGAAACAAGAAATGGTTTACATACTTGTGGTCGAAATAGAAGAGGCCAGTGAAACCGCTCCATCTGTTTAATATTTATATCTACACATACAGGTTTAGAGTGACAAAACACTCTCCACAAGATTGTATGCAAGGGAATCACTTCAACTTTCCAATAGTCAAATTTCTTTTTATGTCGAGCAATATTCCCTCTGCCCCAGCTTGTGGTCTCTACAACCGAGCATGCTCTTTCTACTATGATTTCAAAGAACGTCATACGACTCTTGTTCGAAACTTGCGTGACCAAGGTTACAACATCCAAGGTCACAGCAAAGCCTTCAAAAAGTCTTATGTTAGGCATGTGGAAGGCATTTCCAAATTTGACGCATCAGTGACAAATACCATGTCCTATGCAATTTCCTAATTTCACATGTAGCATATGTTCCCATGTTACTTTTAAGTAAACAATTGGCTTGCTTTTGCATGTGTTTGTGACGGGTGCGACTAATGGGAAAGGATCTGTACGCGAGCACCCGGTGTTATCACTATTTGATTGTGAGGTGAGGTGAGGTGAAATTGGGTTTAACGTCGCGTCCAAGATTATTGCACTTATATAGCGACGTGAATGCACGTGTATGTGTGTGTGTGGCTGCTTGTACTAGTCCGGACTGATGCCGATTTATAGTGCTAGCTCACTGAGATACCATGCCGCAGTTTAACATGAATACCCCACTCAGACACAGTATACTGACCCCGAGCCGACCAGTCCTTGTTTTAGCCCCTTAATGCCGAGCGCCAGACAGGGTAACAACAAGTACAATCTTTTAACGTCTTTTTGTATGACGCGGCCCGGGATCGAACCCTGGACCTTCCGCTCTCCGGGCGGACGCTCTACCACTAGACCACGGAGGCGGTCCTATTTGATTGTGATTCATAAACACATGCACATGACATAGTACAATAAACTATTGTTATGGTAATGGTTTTTATCGCTTTTATATATATTTTATTAATATGATAATGGTGATTATTTTATGTAGTTTTCAGTTAATCTAGATTAGAAAAACTCTTCACAAACCTAATACGTTATGCATACATTGCAGTGTTCTTGTACGCTAGATTTCAGTAAGAATACGTGTAACTTAATGAATTTGGACATTTTTTATAGCTACTGTGTTCTTTAGAGTTGTTTATTTCATTTGTAAAAATATATAAATGTGCTCGGCTCATAATGACAAGACGGTTATATACTGAACAACAAAAGTTCCTGTGACATTGAATACGATTTAATGCAAAGTTAAGCTTTTTACCAAATCTGAAACAGTTTCGGTTTGCAACAGATAAAAGACTCCTGTAAATGTTCAAATGGTTGATTTTTCATACTGACTTCAGAAAATGCGTGATTTCGTAAAAAAACCCATGAACATGCCAAAGTGTCAATTTACAAATCAATAGCGTGTGTGTCCACCTCTGGTTGCGATGCAAGCAACACATCTTCGTCTCATGGAATGGACCAGGCGTCGCACAAAGTCCTGTGGGATATCTGTCCATATCTGCTGGAGCATGTTTCGAAGTTTCTTGAGTGTCTGTGGAACACGTGGTTGACGTCGAAGGCGCCGATCCATCTCATCCCACATGTGCTCGATTGGTGGGAGATCAGGGGAGCGAGCTGGCCAGGGGATGACATTCACGTTGTTTTGTTGAAGAGAATCCTGAACATGTCGAGCAATATGAGGCCGGGCGTTGTCATGTTGAAAGGTAATGCCTGGGCCATGACGACACAAAAACGGTAGAACAACAGGACCGATGATCTCGTCGCGGTAGAGCTGTCCATTGAGATTTCCCTCTACCACTATCAAACGGGTCCTCTATCTTGCTGTAATCCCACCCCATACCATAACGCTGCCGCCCCCGAACCGATCTTCTTCCATGACACAATGATTGACGTAACGTTCACCTCGACGTCGGTACACTCGAATCCGTCCATCGCTGTGGCTGAGGTGAACACGAGACTCATCAGTGAATAGAACATGTCCCCACTGCATGGCCGTCCAGCGTAGACGCTGTCTGCACCACTGTAGACGTGGTTTCCTGTCAAAACGGGACGTCTGGCGGGTCTTCTGGCGACAATCCCTGTACATCTGAGGCGACGACGTACGATTTGTGAAGATATTCGTCGAAGGCCAGGGATGCTTCTTGCAGTCACTGTTGCTGGCTGGAATCGATTTCGTAGATGAGTTGTTCGAATCCAGTTGTCTTAGCGATTATTGGTTACGCTGGCCTGCCGCTCCGAGAATGGTCTCTGACTGCATTCGTCTGTTGCCAACGTTGCCATAAACACCAAATGGTGTTTCTGTGGACGTTAAATTGTCTTGCAACATCACGTTGACTCGATCCTGCTACAAGTATACCAATGGCTCGCAGACGCTCATTTTGGGACAGGCGTGGCATTTCGTAATGTTGAATAATTGCGTAATTTTGTTGTCTGGTTGTTGTCAGCACGATGCTAAACGATGCATATGGTATCCCGTTAACGCACATGTTTTTATACCCATTCTTGGGTAGTGAAATGCATGGGGCTTTCATAAAAGTCAACTTTTGCATGGAATGCATGCTTTTCTGTAGCAGTTGCGTTTTTGTGACTTGATTCTAACATGCACTACAATAATTAAAACCAAACTTTACTTGAAAAATACACTAAAATAATGGTGTCACAGTAACTTTTGTTGTTGAGTATATTAAACAGTCGAAAGATGAAGTGCAAACAGAAGCCAAAAAGTCACTATATACTTTTTTCTTAAAAGATGACTATCTTATATCCATGAAAATATTAATAATTTAGAGATATGGGGCGTACAACCATATCTATGTTATCGAGAAATTATACAAGATTTTGATTTCAGTGATGTTTAGCTCACAACCAGTATATATGTTATTGACAAATTACACATGACCCTGATTTCAGTACTATTTGGCATACAACATATGTCTATTTTATTGAGAAGTTACACATGACATGGAATTTTAAATTTCTTTTCAAAATTGTTGATTAACTAACATTATTGTACAGTCAAATGCTCGATAACCTAAGTCATCGAAGCTGTCGAATATACGTCGATATAGTTGACCACATGTATAAAATGTACGTTATATTTCTTCTAAACGACTGATATTCATATCGTGAATTAAAAGGTTACTCTCGGAACAAACATTAAACATGCGATGAAAAGAAGTAGCAATCATTTGAACTTTCGAACACATGGCTTAATCTTATTATATTTCAATTTGGACTGTAATTAACTAATTCCCGACTTAATATGTATACATAGTCGGTACGTGATACACTTGACAGCTGTTTAAGTGGCCTTGACGTGTAACTCCCAACAACAACGACAACTGCGGTGATATTGCATGCTATAAGTACGGAGGTATCCTAGCTAGTATCACCATTGTGTTGATCGGGTGAGGTCCTATACACGCTACAGTCATGAAAGTTACACTCGCTTTCCTCGTCGTCTGCATCTCCATCAACGTTTACATGGTCAATGCTGCCACGAACGAATGTCTAACTGATCCTGTAGTAGAATGCGAAGGTAAGCTGAAGATCTTTACACACTTAAGGTATTGTTGTGATTATTACTGCATGTAATTGTAACGGATGCAACCTTTTCTGGAACACCTGGTATGATCACTATTTGATAGTGAGTGAGTGAGTGAGTTGGGTTTAACGCCGCTTTTAACAGTATTCCAGTTATATCGCGGCGTGTCAGCTTAATGTGGGAGGAAAGCCCGAAGTGATGCAGGTCTCAGACGTTTACCACTTCGGTGAAACCCACGAGCACGGGTATGGTGCTGACAAACCTAGAAACATAATCGGGGCGAACCGGGATTCGAACCCACAATCATAGGTTTCTGGCGTGCCCAAGGGACGCAACTCTGCACAGCGAACCGCGGCGCCTTAGACGACTGGGCCACCAGTGTGTAGATGAGATACTGTTCAGTACCGTCAGACCTCGTTAACTCGAGTTATCCTATGTTCGAGATAAGCGGAGCGTCGATATGAGATCATGGTTGCTTTCGAGCATGATATCTCTGCTTGAACCACACAGTTTCATTGTTCTAAACGATGTGTCGCGATGAAGGTTTTACTGTAGATGATTGTGGACTTAAAGAGGGGGTGCTCGGGCGAAAGAAAGTATTCACCCATGCTTGATGGTGGCTAAAAATGAAACAAGAAATGATTATTTGATGGTAATGTATTTGATACGGGTAACAGTTATGTTTTGCATCTCAAGTTTGCAGTGTTTCGGCGACTGTTTTCAGCCTCGTATCGTTTAGATGTTTGTAATTTTTGGTTAAATCCAATTTTCAAGTGTAAACTTTCTTTCCCGGCAATTTAGTAAATTTGTTTTCGTTCACACAGCTACTACTCCTACTACTACTACTACTACTACTACTACTACTACTACTACTACTACTACAACTACTACTACTACTACTACTAACTCAAATTATAGGAAGTGGTCGCATCAGTGGTCTAGTGGTAGAGCGTCCGCCCGGAGAGCGGAAGGTCCGGTTCGATCCCCGGCCGCGTCATACCAAATAACGTTTAAAGATGGTACTTGTTGTTACCCTGTCTGGCGCTCGGCATTTAGGAGCTAAAACAAGGACTGGTCTGCCCGGAGTCAGTATACTTTGAGTGGGGTATTCATGTTAAACTGCGGCATGGTATCTCAGTGTGCTTGCACTATAAATTGGCATCAGTCCGGACTAGTACAAGCAGACACACACACACACACACACACACACACACACACACACACACACACACACACACACACACACACACACACACACACACACACACACACACACAAGCTTATTTGTTTGTTGACGTTGAACCCCATTTCACCACACCTCACTTTCGATGGTTACGCTGAGGGCAGAGGCTCTTTTTCCCCCACAAGATTAATTACAACGACTGCAATGTATAAGTGTTACTGTAGGGTTGTCTGTGTTTGATTTCAGAGTGTTTGACGGACTGTTGCGAGGAGATTCTGATCTCCATCAAGACGTACGAAGACTGCAGCTGCCCGCTACTGACTGAGGCCAATCCAGAGGAGGAACGACAGAACTTCTACCTCCGTGTCTTCTACCGCGAGCTGTCTGTTTGGCTCAAGTGGTACTGCTACCTGCACGGCGCTCACCTCACCTTCGGCGACGGTCTCCCAATTGCCCCGAACTACGACTACTACGGTGGGTGCTCTTAGTTATAGTTTTCGACTCATGGAGTACTCCTTTGTCGAGTGAGTGAGTGAGTGAGTATGGTTTTACGCCGCTTTTAGCAATATTCCAGCAATATCACGGCGGGGGACACCAGAAATGGGCTTCACACATTGTACCCATGTCGGGAATCGAACCTAGGTCTTCGGCGTGACGAGCGAACGCTTTTACCACTAGGCTACCCGACCGCCCCTTTGTCGAGAAAGTAATTTTGGGTCAACTGTCACGTTTCGGATTAATCCAGAGAAAAGGCACCTTCCCGAGGCAAGGGAGTTAACTGACTGTAAAAGCTAAGTTTCCACCCTTGCCGAACTACGCTAAACATATTCTTGGCTCGATCGTAGCGCCACCAGTGGCTATCACGAGTTATGTCCCTTCTATGTCCCTCCTATTGACAATCACATTTCACCTCTCATATCACATGCATTTGCTTCAAACAAAATGGCGGCGTCCAGTCAAGACGATCTGATCGATTATCAAGATCTATACAATAATAAAATTGGTCTTACCCAGAGAAGTGCACCATATCATTTGGGCACCTTGATTAAAAACATGAAAAGATTAGGAAAATATCTGTTGACGCTAAATTGTCGGTACAAATGCTTTGTAAATCCTGCAATCAACCGAAATCTGCACGGCAGCTTGTCGATTTCGTTACGCGATTTGATTGGACTATGCGATTGGATATGGACTACCACACCCACACATAACAAAGGACCAGCCCCCACCCCTCAGACCCAGTTTGGAGTGATCACCGACAACCACACCCACACATAGCCAGGACCAGACCCCAGCCCTCAGACCCAGTTTGGAGAGATCACCCACACCCACACCCACACCCACACCCACACCCACACCCACACCCACACCCACACATCGGCTCCTGCAGCAAGGTGTCGCAGAAGCCAACTCCTCACCCAAACCATACGCTGGACTACACCGCGGCGACGGTCGTCCTCGTCCGCTTAGTCTGCGGACACCCAAGATGGTGGCCGCAACCACCTTTCATGAGGTGGTCTTTGATCTTAAACCAATAGTGTCTCTGAACAGTAATATATATCGATTCACCAGTTTTGATATGTATAATCTTATGATTTCAGATGAAGAGAAATAAACTACGGTGGAGGACAAGAAGCACGTTTATGTCTCTACATGATATAAAGAATTATGTTTAAAACAGACTCAGTTTTATATTGTCATTTCATTTTTGCTATCCAGCATTCGTAGATCTTAAATTGTCTTAACGATTGTTGTTATGGGTTTACTTCATCCCGCTCTGTCAGTACCATGGAACGGAAGGAATGAGTGAGTATGGTTTTACGCCGCTTTTAGCAAATATTCCAGCAATGTCACGGCGGGGGACACCAGCAATGGGCTTCAAACATTGTACCCATGTCGGGAATCGAACCTAGGTCTTCGGCGTGACGAGCGAACGCTGTAACCACTAGGCTACCCGACCGCCCCGGAGCGGAAGGAGCGTTATGCTAATAATACAGGATAAGCCGAATTGATATATATTATTTACATAACGTCGTTTCGCCCAAATCTACTCGATTATTTACAGACCGCCGTCATATAGTTGGAATATTGTGTGGCGTTAAACAACAAACTAAACCAATGAACATGAGCTACCTGAAGGGATCGATGCAAACCTATAAAGGGGGAGTCGGCATGGGCGAGGTTTGTTTGTTTGTTGTTTAACGCCGCACTCAGCAATATTACAGCTATATGCCGGCGGTCTGTAAATAATAGAATCTGGACCAGAGAATCCATTGATTGACATTATGAGCATCGATCCACGCAATTGGGATACAATGACATGCATCAACCAAGTCAGCGAGCCTGACCACCTGATCCCTTTAGTCGCCTCTTACGACAAGCATAGTCCCTTTTTACGGCAAGCATGGGTTGCTGAAGGCCTATTCTACCACGGATCTTCACGGGTCGCATGGGCTAGGTGGCAGTCCCATCACGCAAACCCGAGAGCGGAAGGTCGGTGGTTCGATCCCCGGACGCATCAAACCATTAAAATATGGACCAGGTACTTGTTGTTACCCTGTCTGGCGCTCGGCATTGAGGGGCTAAAACAAGGACTGGTCGGCTCGGAGTCAGTATACTGTGTCTGAGTGGGGTATTCGTGTTAAACTGCGGCTTGGTACCTCAGTGGGCCAGCTCTGTAAAACCGGACTAGTACAAGCACACACACACACACACACACACACACACACACACACACACACACACACACACACACACACACACACACAAACACACACACAAGCTTATTTGTTTGTTGTTTAACGCCGCACCCAGCAATATTACAGCTATATGATGAAGTCCTGCAAAATTCTTGTCTGGACAAGACAATCCAGTGATTGACATCATGAGCACCGCACCACGCAATAGGGATACTATGACATGCATCAACCAATCAGCGAGCCTGACCACCCGATCCTTTTAATCGCCTCTTACGACAAGCATAGTCACCTTTTACAACATGGGTTGCGGAAGACCAAATCTACCCCGGATCTTCACGGGATGCAGTTAGAAGCAATCCACTGATACAAGTCTTTCCACATATAAGCAAATGATTACCACTACAATCAAAGTTCACTAATTTCTTATTCTGACAAAGCATTGTTCACAGGTTGCCGTTGTATATACATGTGTCGTCATAACGAAAGCGAGGACACAATGATTATTCAGAAACTGGGCTCATAAGGCTAGAAGGTGACGAACATTGTAAGGATGGATCACTTAAAATCAGTGATGACACCAGGGCCCACTTGCACAAAGCGATCTTAGCGCTAGGACTATCGTAAGCCTATGTTAAAGTATGGGAGTTACGATCATCTTAGCGCTAAGATCGCTTTGGGCAAGTGGGCCCAGGTGTTCGCGAAAAGGGTAATACTAAGCATATTCTGCTCTATCGGTAACACCCGTCACTCGGATAAAAAATATTTTTTAATGCAGAAATTATATCTATAAACACATCTATATCTATAATCCAGATTAAATATTTCTGCCTTACGAGAAACTGGCAAAGAGCAAAACGTCTTATACATCCACATTCTTTTTAGACATCAGGAAGACAAATATCTGTCTTGATGGATACTGATGGAACTAGTGCAAAAGATATTCATCTTTTAATTCTTACAAATCACAAAGCATTAACTTTGGTTTCGCTAAAACGCTGTTTTTGTTCTTTTGAACCATGTGATGAAGAACAAAATTTAGCGAACCTCTTCAAAATCCTTATCAAATCATGGGTTTATATAGCGTTCAGTTTCTAACAGAGATTTATAAGACGCAAAATGATTTATGAATGCAGAATTACTAATCTTTTGACTCAAGATTGGTCCATCGATGTCAATAGATCTTCTCTGGAATAATTCTAAAACTTAATGTATATCTTCACAATCCTACTATATCGAGGCATAACCAAGACCCGATTCAAAGAAAAGCATTTTCACACAAGATCCCCACCTAACTGTACTATTATCATCTTGTACTTTAAGCATTTTATAACGTGCGTCTTATACATCGGCTAAAATAGGTTACACTTACAGTAGATGATAACGACCAGCCCCACCAAGAACAGCATTAGACGATTGTTTATCACTGATTAACAAATATCTCTTGAACATAATACTGTCGACATCTTCTATACTTTCTCTAAATGACAAAACCCCTAAATTTCTGCAATCGTAGCTATTTTACAATCAAACAATAGAAACAATTACCTAAATGATAATGATAAAGCTTAACTCAACTCTAATTAACTATAACATGCTAACCGGCCTGTGTCGGTCGGGTTTCACATGTTTTAGATAAGGTTTTAGATCATAGAAGGACCGCCTCCGTGGTCTAGTGGTAGAACGTCCGCCCGGAAAGTGGAAGGGCCTGGGGTTCGATCCCCGGCCGCGTCATACCAAAATACGTTTAAAGATGGTACTTGTTGTTACCCTGTCTGGCGCCCGGCATTTAGGGGCTAAAACAAGGACTGGTCGGCTCGGAGTCAGTATACTGTGTCTGAGTTGGGTATTCAAGTTAAACTGTGGCATGGTATCTCAGTGTGCTAGCACTATAAATCGGCATCAATCCGGACTAGTACAAGCAGCCACACAAACACACACACGTACATGCACGTCGCTATAAAAAAAGTGCAAATATCTTGGACGCGACGTTAAACCCAATTTCACCTCACCACCTTAGATCATAGAAGCAAAGATGAAAGACAATGCCCAAGTATATATAATATGTAACAGTAAGCCTTTTCATTTGTGTATTATCATAATACCATTTTTCAATAAAAAACACCATTTATGAATACCAAAATAATTGACAAATCCATATTGACCCCCAGACACCAAGTATCACAAACTGATTCCAGTTTATCTAATTTTCTCTGCAACTCAATAACAGAGTCCGATATAATTTAATCGGCAAAAAAACAACCATTTGATTTCACCATTAAACTCATAAACATAATACCTTTTTGTTGCATTGTTATCTACATCTTTAGCATGCTGGTTTATAAAGAATATGAACAACAATGGGCTTAACATACAGCCCTGTCGGACTCCGCTGCAGTTCTGAAATGCGTCAGTTCTGAAACTTCCAATGCGAACACAAGCACAAACATTTGCACACATAATTTTAAACACTTTAAAAAATGTGCCAAGCATGCCATTCTGTAAAGGCATTTGCAATAATGTAGTCGTATCAACAGAATCATTTCGGGAAATCAGTATATGTGCAAAAAATACGATGCTTTGATTTTGGGAGATATTATTGGTATTCGAATGATCGTGTTTGAGACTCGCTTGGGTTTCTGATATAAGTTCCTTTACTTCTAACAACTGACGTAGTCTACTTTCAATAATGGATGTAAACATTTTCCAAACTACATTTAACAGTGAGATGCCCCTGTAGTTAATAGGATCAGACTTGTCCCCCTTCTTAAAATGCGGCAATATTATTCCTACATTTCATCAATTGGGGTAAAAGACCAGTTTTCAAAATAGAATTAAACTAAAGACATATTTATGGAACAAAGTGCAAAGCATTGTTTTTAAAACTGATGGCAAACCATCCTGGTCCTTACCCCATATTGGTGATTTTATGGCGTCTCACTTCATCTTCCCATATAAAATCCAACAGCATATCCGCATTATTTAATCTTCACAATTCAAACAATCATGTTCTTTAACAAACTCCCATACCACGCTGTCAGAATCAGAGTTTTTGGATTAATTAAAGATATCTTTAAAATATGTAGAACCATGTTAGTGGATACAAACTTTCCCCGTCATGATTTTACGGTGCGCCAAAATACGCCAGAATCTCTAGCAGTGAAAGTAAGCTGCTTTTCCTCGCACGTCTTTCACAAATCTCTCTTGGACTTAAATGAGTACATATTCTTCATCACTTTTTTCTTGCGTACAGATAGGGTATGTTATTTCAATACTGTATTACATTATGTTGGTCAATATGACTATATGAAGTGAATCTTTTATGATACATATTAAATACATGTAGGATAGGCAAATTTGTCAATACAGTATGATTATGTGAAAAGGTTGTGACATGTAGAGCAGAAGGCCATAAATTTATCGTTTTCACATTTCGTGTATGAGACATATTTTTGCGTATCATATAAGCTTAAGAGATTTGTTTTAGTTCGGTAATATTAGGGAGAGGATTTGAGCATTTTTTAGTAGAAAAAATGCGGTGTTGCAATATAAATTAAATTCAAGACGTCATTACATTTTTCTTTTAATACAAAAATAATGTGATTCTTATCTATATTTAGTAAAGTACAAGTTCTATTCTCTATCCGCTGAGTACATTTCTTAGTTTGCTTTGTTCTTTGATTTGCGAAGAATATGTTACGTTGATATCTAATTCGGTTTGCACTGAACATTCCTCGTCAAACCATCTACTGGTAAGCCAGGTTAAGTTGAGTTGTGACCTAACAATTAACCCTGTATGACTATGTACGAGGTCCGCCAACTGGCGCGTACCATTGTGAAGAAAGGGTTAGCGGGTGGTCCGCGCCAAGTGGTAAGATGGACATGTGTGTGTCCTGTCTCGACTGATAACGAGTTCTAGTGGCGAGTTCACTATCACATAATAATACGTGCTGATGTGAGGTACCCGATGCCCGTGAAAACA